GTCATATTCATTTCAATATCAAAGAATAGTGTTTTGAAAATGATCAACTGAAAGAAATCAATTATGAATCATTCAGATCCCATTGGTTTTATTAGCAAACATCACATCATAAAAAACAATCACATCAAATCGGACGGAATTCTCATCTAGTTTAAATGCATTGGGTTGGATGATATTCAATTGAACCACATCAAATAGGATTGGATTGAGTAAGACACCAAATCAGCAAGTTTATTTGAGAGGATTATACCATGATCCTTTTCAATTCAACAGCTGACTCAATGCCATCCCTTGTTTGTATCTTGGTCTTATTCAAAGATATCACAAAAAGGTAGCAAAGCAATCATTCATTTCAAAGTCCAATCAAAGATCCACTCAGATCCACCTCTACTTCCAGTACAACTTCAACTTGAACATCAATCATCAACTATCATGAAGAACTCACTTTGAATCTAATCACAGATACTCATTCAAAACATCTTAATACAATCTTTAATTTAAACATTGGACATAAAATTGATTCCCAAGATCTCTGGATCATTATCAAGATTAGGACAAGGAACGGGATTGATGAGGAGAATCATGAAATCACCAAATTTATTAAAGTATCCAGATGGATCACAATTCAATGTACAAGAATGAATGGAAATATTAATCAAGTGAGAGGAAGTTGATAGAGTGGCACAAAAATTATGTCAAGAAATATTGAAGTTAGATGACTTCAAATACTTGAGCTGTTGAAGTTTTGATGTCAATGTCAATTGAGCCTGGTGACACAAAAGCAGCTTGAAAGGTACACACATGGATTTGATCACAACTTTGTTTTTCAAGATCATTGTTACACAAGAAATGAAACACTGATAGTCAAACATTGTTATTGCAAATCAAATATTGAATATCCAACTTTTCAATCAATGTATTGCTCATGCTAAACCTACAGCTTCTCCTATGGCTCATCTCTAGCTTTCTCAGTTGGCCAATAGTTCAGGATCTTCACTGAAATTTGTAGATATAAAAAATATCATGCTGATATGAAGAGATTATGATTCACCATCCTTTCCGCACTCAATGGCAAGCTTTTTGGAAGCCAAGGAAGGGATTCATGAATTCTCATACAGGTAATCAAGAGGCTTTACAGTATATGACATAGCGTGGCAGTTTTTACACCCACACAAATTTGAGAATAACATTGGCTTGGTGACCTGATTTTCAATCCATCAACCTGGTCATGACAACCTGTGCACAGCTGTTTGCACACTAAAATGAAATATTATATTATCATATGGAAGTATATTGAGTTTCAGTTTGATCATTAAGAACATGCTTGAGAAATTTTCATAAGGCAAAGGTGTTCCAATGACCTTGGCTGTATCATCACTTTATTTCAGTTTCAAATTGTCTTCTGAGGCTGTCATAAAGTTAAACCTCTGCAAATCCACAATCAGCCATTTCGGATAGGGCTTGGGTTTAACTAAGCTGTCACAGGCCAAATTTCAGACTAATGCATAATAGAATAATGCATAGCATTTTTGCGGAAAAGTACAGATGTTGGTGGGCTTGATTCAGGTTGAACTCCACCCCCAATTGCCGGGTTCTGAGGTGCCTGTGAGCAAGATTTCTCTTCAAACATCAGAACAGAGCCCGGACCAAAAAAAGCCAATTTTTTTAATCACAGATCCAGAACGGCCCCCAGACCAACCCCATGGGAGTCCTTGGGTAGCCATGGGATTATTGGAAAATCCCCAGTAATCCCTTGGTACCCAGGGACTCCCATCAAATATACAGAATCAATTCTTTTCTTTAGTGCGTGCCTGATTATGGCGGATGAAAATGGTTTGTGCAAGTCATTGGAGTACCGGTAATAAACCCAGGTGATCTTGTCTATCGATTTGAGCATTTCTGGGTTCTCATCTGTAAGATACCGGAGAAAGGCTGGTGAGTTGAGTTGAAGGGAAGTAGGTATCCAATAGACAATGATTGAAAATATCTTCTGTTTGAGCCAAAGGATGGGTTGACCGGGTCAACCCACCTCTCACCGGTCAACAAGGCAATCTCAGATTTGTTTTGTTCAGTAGATTGTCTCCTTAACTCTCCAATATGCTTGTTGATAAATACAGCATGGATTGCAACAGGAACCTTGGGGCACACAGTGTGTAGTGCGGTGTTGATGCGTTTGACCAGATCAAGAGGATTGGTATCAATCTTGGCGTGAGATTTTTGGTTCATTTGCTGGAGAATCAAGGCTGGTACCTTGACTCTGAGCAGACAAGATTGCAGGATTGGGGTTTGGCTTCTATGTTTGGGGGGAAGCACAGAAGAATCAGGGGAATTTTTCTGGGAATCTCAGCATGATAATCTCACTGAGAACCTCATGATACAGCAACCTTGTATAAGCATACTGTAAGAATATTTACACAACTTAAACATAACCGAACACAATATGTATTTGGGTCAGAAACCACAACTGGGGTATGCCCAATCCATGTCACAGCCTCTATGCAGACCCCTTGTTTCAAGCAAGAATTTTTTCAGCATCTTGTTTTGTCATATATTCCACCAACACATAAAAAGAGTTTGCAAGGTAATCAATCCCTATTTGATAACCTCTCTATAACTCATTTAACTCAAAAAGGGACCAATTTAATTGTCTTGGTCTACATTGATTTGAGATTTCAACTGTGATTGCTGAATTGCGACCTAAACTGATCAATGTTCAAGCTGATGTCAGACTAGTACAGTGTGTAAAGTCATCATCATGGAAATTTTAAGAGCAAAAGATCTGATTTTGCTCTCAAGAACTTGATTTTAGTTCCTAGTTGATCTACAAGGAAAACACCAAGTCGCAAATGCAGACCAATCAACAACAGAACCTCCAGCAGAACTTTTGGCAAGGCTACTTGAGTTCTGGAATGAATTAACATCACATTCAGAGACTACACCCTCAACATCCCCACATTTAATTCTACTTATATCACATGGTGCAGCACTTCAAACTTCAATTTAATCAGGATTAAAGTTGTCCTATGAATTTGATTCATCCATACCTCAACATATCATGTTGGGAAGTTGTTTAATTACTGATGTTGAACTTTTACCAAGTAAATTAGTTACCAGAGCTGGTGATGTAGAGTATTTGGATACAGTTGAATCATAGGAGATTCAAGTAAAGGGTACATGAAGTGGATGATATTTTATCAAAGACTAGCTACACGGAAGTTGGGTTGATCTCAAGTTCCCATATAGAGGATTCAAAACATCATAGATAGCTTTTTTCATCTTCAACTTTGAGGTCAGGATTTTTCCTCTAGCTTGATTTTAATCAGAGTGTTATCAGGGGATTCCCCAATCCTTGGGTCTACCGGGTTTGGGGCCTGTACCCTGTGCTGCAACTGCTGTAAAGGGTTGGGATGTGATTGATGGAATGAGTTTCATGGCTTTGAGAAGCCAAGCTTCCATGGCATGGAGGTCTAAGTGGGTTACTTGAATTGGTGATGGTGGTAAAGGCAATTTGGCTAGTTGAAGGCAGAAGCCTGAGAGCTTGAGGGCGTTCTGGAAACCCGCTCGGTTACATTTGGAGGTAGTGGTTTGACTCTTGGACTTTGAACTGACGCTTTTGAGCTAGCGGTTGAGTTCTGCAAGGATAGCCTTTAGATTTTTTGGCAAGAGGGGGTGTCAATAAGCAGGCTTATTGGCAGGTAACTCAGCACTTATAAGACTAATTATTTCAAAAGATATATTATCAAAATTATAACAAATAATCAAAAACAATAGGAACTATTCAACTCAAACTTCAAATGTGTGGATATTACTAACCAAAAGTGTTTGAACTTGAATGGGTTTAAATTCAATTGGAATTCACACTCACACCCCACACCTTTTTTGTGGCCCTGGCCATGGTCATGGCCCTAGTAACAGCATAGCAGCCCTTATGAACATTGAATGTCATTATGCTCATGTTCAATTGCTGGCGGACCACTCAGATCCACCTGCACTTGTGTTTTGAGTAATTCTTGGAATACTCTCAGAAAAACTTGTTGTCCCAACTTATGCATTTGTGCAGGTTTGAGTGTATTTCAATTCATCCCATAAATCAAAAGATTATTTCCAAGATTATACTCAATTCCAAAGAAGTATTTGAAATCAAGTTCAAAACTTTATTCATATATTCATATTTGAAATGAGTGTCTGATTTTATTCTTCTTGGATTTGCATGATCTATCAAAATTTCTCTGTAACTACTTATTTGCATGTATCATTCATAAAGAGTCAGTTCTGTTACAGGTTTTCACTGCTTTGTTCTTCACTCTTTAGATTGCTGATATCCATGCTTTGTTTTTGTAATTTCCTTCAGTTTTAAGCTTGGTAGGATTAGATTGTTTTGTATGAGAAAAGTTAAGTCACTCAAGATACATTTGATTAGAAATTTGAAGCAATTTTAACCAAATGTTCAATCTTAGATATGGGTGATAACTATCTCTGTTAATGCTTCCCAAAAAAATCTAGATTGGCTCATTGGTCACTTTTTTTCTGTGACATGTTGAAGAACCTCCATCCATTTTAGCGTCATTAATGGATCTATTATATGATAAATTAATTTTGAATTAGCAATTTGTCAACTTAATCCTGCTAAAAGATTTAATTGATCAAGTTGGAAAGACTTATTGCAGCTTATTTAAATTTGTTGATAGTTTATACAGATGTAAACCACTTAAAAAGCAGTTTTGGGTCAGTAAGTCATTATCAACGCTCTTGAAATTACTATACTTTTGAATTGAATGACTGATAAGGCAATTTGTTTTTAGGAGGGCTACAATTATGAGAAGTGAAAAACAACTATCAGCTCATTCAGAACAAGTTGGACAACATATGTCAGGTTTACCTACTCTTGATCCCCCTACTTGTACTGTTTTGGTTTTTGGTTATCCAAATGTTGCTCAATTGAGTTTTATCAATAAGGTGACTTTTGCAGACTTAGATGTATAACCGTATGGTTTCACTATCCTCAGACTCATCTCAAAGACCCCAACATGTATTGGTAAGTCATGATCACCGGTGGTCATGATAGCAGTTCTGGAATTCTACACCTATCATAACAAGAGAGAGGAAAGTGTACTCATGATATTCACTGTTTTAATCGTTTAAAATAGGGATTATTTGGGATCCCATCCAGAATCACTTTATGAATTTGTGAGGGTCTTCACTGACCTAGGAACTCCTGATGGTAAGCAAAAACCCATCTTGTTTGCTCAGCAATCTTGAATTATCTTTCTCAAATCCTTGTTCATTGTTTTTTGCTCTGTATATAGGTTTTGTCAATATGGATGCATGGGCAGGACATTCTTATCAATGGGTAAAAGCTGATGGTCAGGAAATTATCTTGACAATCTAAACTTTGCTGAAATGTTTTACATTTTTCTAAAAAGGAACTTAGGTATATGTCAAGATTGTGGCTATAAGTCAACAAGGTGTTCATAACTTAACAGCCTCCGCTGCCACACACATCCCGGGCACAAATCCTGATTATGCAACCCAGGTGAGTTAAGGCTCTATACACTGGGACTTGAAAATATCATATATACCCCATCTCATTTTCATTAACTAGGATCTATACCAATGTATTGATCAGGGTCAGTTTCCATTGTGGAAACTTTTGGCACAAGTTTTGACTCCAGCTGAGGCTGAAAAATTCAAATACAATGTTCTTGATGTGACAAGTTGAGTGGTTTTATTTGAATGAATTTACACCACCAAGATAGGTTTAAACGGATCCTGTTATACTTTAGAGGAATGGCCCATTGATATGGTTCCGCCACATGAGATTGGAGAATTTGTTCTCAATCAAGTGCGTGGATTAAGATTTCATTTTCTTGACCAGAAGATATATAGCTAAATCACTCAATTTTCTTGTTCTTGTTACGCTCTTGATATCTTAGAATCCAGAAATCTATTTTGCAGAGGTGAGTTAGTGTTACATCAAGATTATACCAACTTTGAAACTCAACAATGGTTATGATCATTAACATTTTGTAGATTGAGCAAGTTGCTTTTTCACCTTCAAACCTTGGGGATGGTTGAGAACCAAGTGCGGACCCAGTACTTCAAGCCAGACTCTTTGCATATCCTGATGCCCAGGTAAGCTGATTAAACATAGTTGAATTTACTTCAAAGCTTTGAACTCACTCATTGCTGTTATACGGTTGTTCTGAAAGAGATATTGCCTTGGTACCAACTTCAACCAAATTCCAATCAATTGTCCAATGAATCCAGTTGGCGAGTATCTCCAAGAATTTACTATTGTAATCACAATCCACTGATTGCTTGCAATCTTTTTGCTTATCACATAATTTTGATTGAATAGCCAACTTTCAACGTAATGGACAAGCTTCTTATTTAGAAAATCAAGGATCAAGAGCCAATTATCTTTCAAGTTTTCAAAGTATCAATCTTCCACCTAGTCTATATGATGTTTCAAATCACACTGTATGGGTAGGTGTTGCGGTAAGATCAATGAGTCAGGTTTGTCATTTCATGACATGTTTTTGAAAGATATGAGGTAGAATATAGCTCTAACTTCACAATACCTCGCCCGAAAAAAACAATCAGGTAACAGAAATTGACTTTGAACAACCTCGCCACTTTTTAAGTACTCTGAGCGAAGAACAGAAAAATCATTTTATCAGGTAAGAATCAAAATCCCATCCTAATCCAATCCCCAATCACTTGAATTCAATCGAATCTAAGGTAGAACATCAAAACTAATCTATCTTTTCATCTACATCAGCAATGCGGCTTCCAGTTTATCAAAAGTTACCAATCCACATGTGAAATCTGATGTCTTGGAAGTCTTTTCTAGACTTGATGAAAACTTGAGCAAGTTGATCTCTCAAAACATTCAGACATCTACTTGAGCTTGTTGAGAGCTTATCTCTCAATTGGTTGAATAAGACCTAGAAGTTGTTCAAATCGGATGAAGTTGAGTGTTATTCTTGTTTATCTTTTTGTATCATCGATCTTCTCAATGTTTTCCATGATTTTATGTCCTGTGATATACACATTCAGAATATAACCAGGTGCTTGTGAAAGTTCTGGTAAGAAAGAAGATAAGGCAGTTTGATGGAGAGAAATAATAACAACCGACAAAAGAGGGTATTCTACATATGGATCTGAAGAGCTCAACACTCGCGTCATGGTGTAAGAAAAGATGTATCACTAATACTGCTTGAAGTAAATTGCGTCTATACGCGTCATGACAATGTGCATAAGTGATCACTTTGTGATCCCACTTATATCAACACATCTGGGTGTCTAGTTCTGTACAAGCAATTGAAGTATCAATAATGAACTTGCCTGGAGTGATAAACCAGAAGGAGGTCCATGGCTGCTGTAAGCAGTGCGATTTGTGCGGTGGTTGGTGTATTGCTACTACTAGTCTCCGAACAACGTCGAAATCGCTGCGCTACGCACAGCAATATGAAGGGTCGTAGATAGTGGTATGATCTACCACTATCTTGAACATCCGCTACGCACCACTATCACGAACAACCCGCTATGTCTTTTATGTAGGGGTGCGCATCAGCCACTATGGGGCACTACGATATAGACTCACTAGCGCTATCATAGCGCACATGCAAAAATTTTTAATATGAACATCAAATATTATTAAAAGGCATTTAAAAAATAAGTGACAAACATATACAAGAACCATTAAACAATTGAGTAAGAGAGTAGAGAAATAGAAAAAAAAGAGAAGAAATAACTTGTATTAAAGATAGTCATGAAGTAGAAGGCAATTTAAATGATCGAGATATAAGAAAAAAAAAGAAAAGTGAGACTTGAAAAGTGAGATCGGGAGTGAGTGTAGGAAAAGAAAAAAGGAAAACTTTGACTTAAAGAGAGTAATTAACTTGAAGGTAAACTAAAAGATATGATGATTAAGAAAAGGAAAAAATAATTGAGATATCAAGTCATCGCTTCTCCATGTTCTCCACCAAGGTAAGAGCCTCAGAGAACTCGCCAGGAACCTTTATCCCAGCCTTGAGCCACTCCCGAGACGAAGCACATCGCTCAATGGTACGGCTAGTCATAGCCGATCAATCGGACCCGCACACGTCAGCTGCACCTGAAAAGATCCTTTCACAAGAACAGGTTGTTCCAGAACAACCCATAAAGTCACGAGCCATGAGGGCAAGGACAGGAAATGCGCCACAATTATCCTAAAGCATAAGACACAGTCAGAAATTTTGAAGTTAAAGATAAGATGATGAAGAAAGAATATGTACCTTCCACCACGACAAAAGTGTGCCACAGGTAAGAGGAAATTTTCCTGATATGTAACCTTCAAGTTCTTGTTTGGTATCACCGTTAGGTCCAGATGCCATAGAAGCAAATACATTGTATTCGTCATCAGTGACAGTATTATCTTGCTGGACAGTGGTGATTGTTGTGACCGGATGACTAGCTTGATATTGAATTGAATAAGAATCCAGATGTTGTTTGACAATTCTTTGGATGCGAGTGACATGTGATGGATGATGAAGTTCAAAGAACTTCATCCTGAGTCGAGGGTTCAGGACGGTAGCGACTACAATAGCATCACATTCAAGAGCTTCTGACTCGTAAGAATCAAGGCGACTGATCATGCTTGACGTCAATTTTTGAAGGCTGGCGTATGGAGTATAAGAATTGAGTTTTTGAAGGGATGTCCTGACACGGTGATAGTCGAGTAAAATTATAGCTGCTGTGGAATGATTGCCCTCGATCCTCGAGGTAGCTAACACAATAACCTAGTCAAGACATCAGGGATCAGTAAATGAATATAAGGTGGAAGGATCGAGAGAGATATCAAAGTACTCACTTCCATAACCTCATTCAAAGCAGATGCACATAGCCATTCGCTTTTTGAGATTGATAATTCCTCAAAATAACCCTCCTCGTCATTTGCTAACATCTGATTTATAACCTGTAAATAAAGTGATTTCTTAGTGATCTTCAAACCGACTGAGCTCAAAGAAAGGAAGTCTTACCTCGGCTCCATCTACCATGATTGATCGGCTCTGGTGCAAGCCATTCCATTTGCTGGACTCACCAAGGATAGGACAACGCAAAGTCCTACCCAGCTCCTTAGCACGGTTGCGGAATTCCAGACGTCGAGATGGACGGCGAGCAATCAGTCGGCTTACTCGATCGATCTGCAGAGATTGAAATCAGTATTGAGATGAAGAAAGTTGGTAAGAGTGTGAAGAGAGAGCTTACCTTCTTGATTGCTTGAATCACTAGGTCAGGTCGGCTTCTTGAACTAGGTAAGGCAGCAGGGTCTGGGAATTGAGATACTTGGTCATTGTGGTCACCGTCACTGTCAGATTCACAGTCGCGAGTGCCATTGCCAGATTCGCTAGCGTCCGAATCTTCAGTTTCATTGTCTTCTTCAACTTGCATTGCATCAGTTTCATCGTTAAGAGTGATGGAAGGGGTGGGAACGTTGAAAAGAGGCTGGGTGGTTGGCTTGGTGTGGCCGGGATCAAGACCGATCGAGGCTAGACCGTGCTTAACAAGCAGGGCTAGCTTGTGAGCATAGCAGCGAATCTGCATACGTCCTGCTGGCCAGTCGACACTCGGGGTAGCCTCTTGAAACATCCGCTGTAATTCATAAGCAAGGGTGCGGTTGTTTGATCCCGAATCGGTAGTTTGGGCTAACATGTAGATAAACAAAGCCAATCAGGTTTAAGTTTGAAGATGATAATGGAAAAAGATAAAAAAAACTTATCTTATCATGTAGACCATGCTTGATGAGGAATCGGGCCACTGGTCGTGCAAGTAGGACACCGGCGTGGTTCCACGCGGCCAGCTTTAGACTAAGATGGAATGTCTGGAACTCCCACTTATCGTCAATGAATGTTACATTCATTCCAATAAAGGCATACCAGCTCCGACGGGTGGTCCAGCCATCGTGAATCAGGCAGAACTTGCTTGAATTGTTCTAGATGATGACCAAGAGATAAAGAAAAGAAAAGGAGGGAAAAGAACAAAAAGAATCATAAAGTCAAAAGATAGAAACATAGGCAAAAGTTTGATCAAGAAGAAGATTTACCTTGATAGTTTCCAGAACCGTCTGTTGCAATCCCGAGTAAAGACGCTTGGCAGCGTTTGCTGCCCATACTGCCGATCGAAGGGCTGCCGACACGTTTGCCAATCGGAAAGCTGCTCGTAAAGAGCAGTCTTGGAATCGAGCCCATGGTAATGCTTGACGAATCACCCAGATGACACACATCAAGTTGAGAAGATCGACACTAAACTTGTCCTTAGAAATAAAATGATCAAGAGTTCCTGATTTGTTTGCCTGCACCAATCTCTGCAGCTCCTCCCACGACGGTGGAAGATCCAAACCGGCCGCTATGGCATCCGACCGCCTGGGGCAAGCGGGTCGACCTTTGCTTCCATCCCAATGCCCGTACAGGTTGTAGTAGCTAGTCAAACCCTTGAGGAATCGACCACGGCACCACCGACACCTATAAAGCCGTGGATCACCAGACGTCTGAAGAACATATATTAGTATCTAAACTCAAAACAAAAACAAAAACAAAAACAAAAACAGACTAACCTGGCCATTAGGATAGATCGGAGGGTGAAAGTACTTGAGTAGTTCTTGAACCCGAGCCAGGTGTGAAGCCCTGATACCAGTCCTGGGTCTCCTCGGAATGATCTCGTCTCCAGAATCTTGATCAATATCTACGCAGTCAGGAACTGTCTCGTCCTATAAATGGAAAATTATAATATTTATCAATTAATCATTGAAAGCGATTGTTGAGAACAAAGGAAAGTAAAAGATTAAACAGCTTACTTTTTTTCTCTTCTTTGTCACCTTTTTTTCGGTCTGACACTTTCGTTTTCCGGTTGAAGGCGATTGAAGGTCCAATAGATCGTCCTCATCTTCAGGGACAGCAAGAAAGAGCTGATCAATCGGGCCAAACAGAGAGCTGGAATGTGAGGGACCGGGAGTCGGAGATGCCACCTGAAGAGATCGTCGAGCGTCGAGCAAAGCAAAGACGAAGCCAGGAGATGGTCTAACTGGTGTCCTTGGCCGGAGTGATCGCCCTGAAGGCAACTGGGTTGGGGCAGTAGACGGGTCGGCAGAGCCAGATTGATCCGAGAGTTTGATCGAATCAGTCGATCTGGTTTGCTCTGAGAGGTTGATGGGACCATGACGACACAGTAGCAGTGTAATCAGAAAAATTTGAGATGCAGTTGTATGGTTCAGTTGAAGATAATTAGGATGGAAAAGAGATAGATAGAATGTAATTGGATGGGAAAATGTGGTCCAACGATGAAACTGGAATCGGTGGCAAGAGGAGAAAGGTCAGTGAATTGATCAAACAGCTTTTATACTCGTCGATTGGTACTTACATGTAATCCTACAAGTGACACCAAGTGACACTCAGACCCAATCTTGTCATTGCTACTCTTGATAACTTTCGCCCAAATGGTGGAGAATTGAAGGTAAAAACGGTGAGGGTGGGGTGGTGGAATGAGGTGATTGAAGACTTGTTGAAGGGTGGATCGGGTGTAAGTTGAAAAATAAGGGTACTCAAGGGGTAAATGGTCTGGGGCGGAGGGCATGGACATATACAGGTTCGGGCGTGGAGGGCATGTGTAGTATATGTAGTATATTACAGGTCATAGCGCTCGCTATGTGTACCGCTATGCATGTGGACATGTTACATACAAGCTCGAGCGTTGCACATGACCCACTACAGGAAATTTTGGTTTCCAGATAGGGCTGTGCGATGTCCACTATGAAAAGACCCCCTATTTTTAGCGGAAGTCCCGCAGCGCTTTCGCAGCGCTTCCGCTATATGATGCGGTGTGATTTCGACGTTGCTCCGAATGGGTGTGGTTTGTTAACAAGAGTAGAGAGGGCTGCAGCTTGGCAAGCTATACAGTGTAAGGTTAGGAGATGAAGTCAGCTTCATAGCGATTCTCTCAGAGATGGAGGAATCGTGGCAGTCGTGCAGCCTACATAGATGTTGTCAAGAAGGTCGCAGAGGGTAGCTTGTTGCTGGAAATGGAGTGTAGGAAGCTGATCAGTTTGAACGGAACCTACTTGATTACATATTACGGGTTCTAACAAGGGGTATCAGATTCAGTCATAAGTCCCATGAAGTACCATGGGGCTGGTGAATGAAGCAAATGTGGGAGCGGGGACTGGAAACAGTCGTCCTGCTTCATATATATGTAGATAGATATATAGATATGTAGATGTGTCTTCAAAGTAGTCAAGCACCATTCTACATTTGTATCGCTCACAATGATGTGATTTAAAGGAATGTATCGCGTCTCATCAAACCGAGCAAATTTTTGTATCGCTCAATGGTGATGTGATTCAAACAATTGAATCGCTCAGGGCTTTGCATCACGTCGCCACATGAGCGATGTTTAGTCGCATTGGGCTTGAATCGCTGAGCTTACCTTGCAATTCATCATTGCAACTCATTTTTATCGCTTTCAACCTCGCAACTTGAAATCGCAAGACAAATTTAATCGCTTTGTCAACATGCAATATAAAATCGCATGTTTATCATAATGCCTTGGAAAAATGTGATTTTCCATTGCCGGTATAAAGGCTATGTACAGTGGCATATACACATGCGAAGTAAAAATGTTGGTGGTGCGTGTGTCAGGGCACGTACCGTGTGCCCACTGCGGATGCTGAAGACGAAGAAGCCAAAGACACTGCTGCTTATATGCCAGATGATGCCGCTGTTCCAACACATTGTCGCGAGGCAAACAAGCTGGACAAGGTGCTAGCAAAGGTGATTACTTTTCATTTTCTTCAATGTTTGTTCACTGATGCTTATATATTCCATCTTTGTCCACTAGGTTGACTTTGTTCTGCAACACATTACCAGATCCGCCCCTTGGCGAAAAAAATTCAAACATATTACAAAGAGTATGGGGCTTCAATTGGAAGCGCTTATTGCCGCTTATGGTATAAGATGGAATATCAGGTACATTAGTTGAGATAAAGCCTGGAAAGCACAAGACGTAAGTGGAAACAACATACCGTTTTTAACAAGTTGGATAACTGACTAGGGAAAGAGCACCAGGTCATCAATCAGCTACTGAAGGATGATATTGCTTGTGTTCATGCAAAAAATTGTCGCCCTTGCAAGAATGGAAAGCCACATGGATATCTCCATGAATTGACAATTACACCCTTGGAATGGGCCCAAGTTAGAAACCTCAACGCAGAACTCAAGGTATGTTTTAATCATTTACATAAATGAACATCATTGTCCTTATTATCATTGTCATTTGCAGCAATTCCTTGATGCCACCAAGAGGATGGAAGGCCGGAAGCCCACGGGAGCTATAGTGATAGCCAAATACGTAGAACTCCGCAAAAAACTGCAAGAGTGTGTGACCAAACTTGATATACACAATGCCCTTTACCCGATGATAGGTGCCAAGCTTGAGAAAACTCAAAGCGTGCTGACAGAAGCACTGAACTGCAAGACTTTGGTAATGGCTTGCATGCTACATCCAGCTTTTTGCTTACAATTTTTTCATACATTCTTTGATAAGACTTCAACAATCTCAATTCAGGCAGAGGCCAAATTTACTGAAGAATTCAGGAAATATCAGTCAAAAACCAAACGCAAGGAACCCCTCACCAGTCAGACTGCCCAATCCACAGATTCAACTTCAAAAGTGTTGGTCTATGCCATTTACAGCGATGATGAAGACAACAACATGGGGGACGATAACCAACTGACCGACTACCTCCAAGGTAGAGACCAAATGAAATACTCAGATTACAACATCTCGGATCCAAACTTGGTGTTGGCATGGTAGGCGGTAAGCTGATTTACTTGCTTTATTACGTTTTGTCTCACACTTATTGCTAATCAATAACTCTAGGTTCATTGTAACCGATACCCCATCATTGCTTGGATGGCACAAGACTACCTCTCCTGCTTGGGTTCCTCTGATGAGCCCGAGAGATGTTTCAGCATCGCAGGTGATGTCTGCACAGCAGATTGTGGAAGGCTTGTTCCCATTGCCATTGAGAGGAATGTGTCAACTTCACTTTGGGCAAGTGAAGGTGTCTCATTAGGTAAAGGTTTTTTCAAATTGATGGAAGCATCACTGCCAGCATATTAACCTTGGATTGGGAAATCTGAGGCGTTCTCAGATCTGAAACCTCGGACAGAAGCTATCCGAGGTTTTGATCCGAGGTAATTTTGGGCGCATAATGATACCTTGGACAGAAACCTCGGATAAGATCTGTTCAAGGATTTGCATCCGACAATACCTCGGATCTCCCGATCCGAGGCATCTATGTTGGTGGTGCATCCAAGATTGACAAGTACAAGGAGATTGTTAAGGATCATTATATGCAAGGAGCTGCTATCAATGTGAAGTAGATTAATGTTTATTTCATTTCTGACTCTATTTCTTCATTTCTTGTGATTATACCCGCTGTGACCATTACAGTAGCGCAGCAATCACTTTCACAAGCTACGCTGCTAGGAGTGCCCTCAAACAGAAACGAACAAGTGTTACGTTGTGAGCCAAAGCGTACCTCTGAGGAGCTGCGCTGCTCTGACCTTGAGAACCCTGAAACACATTTCAGCTGCGCTGACATGCTTCTTGCACAAAGCGTAGTGGAGCGTAGCTGGTCCAACATTGGTTCAGCTCACACTCAGCCATGTTTGAGGTATGTCACAAGGGCTGGGAGGTCTTGAGATTGATATCCATTTTCTATTTGACTTACCATTGAATCCAAAAAATATCAGGAATTCACTCTTTCTGCCTTAGTCTCTTTGACTCTCTACCTTTTGTATCATAATCTACACCTGGTGAAATTTGTTGAAGTGTTGCCTTTTGAACAAATTAATATTTTGCCAATGACCCAAGAGACTCAGAGTCCCAAACATCAATTATCAACCAGCCAGACAAACAAAACATAGTTTAATTCCATCTGCTTATAAAATGCTTCAACATTCAAAATTGACTGACAAAATAAATGTGACCACCATCAAAGATCACCTGATTGGGCCTGGCTTGGTGAAGCTGAGCTCAAAGTTGGGTCGGGCTTTAACGGATATAGTGGCTCCACAAAACAGCCGGGACAGGTCCGAGGCTTGAGCGAGGAGTCTCGGACCTGTACCGCAGCAAGGGGCTGGACGAGGGAATCTTGTTTACTTAAAGCATGAAGTCCTTCACCGATTTTTCTATCCGCAACGCCACGAGATCAAAGGTTTGTTATCATCAATCGTTAAGGAGAATCAACTGCCCTCAACAACCCACATATAAGCATTGCTCAGTAACGACTGTAACGACCAATCCGCCCGCTACAGCTCCTGCAAGTCGTGGAACGTGAATGATTTAATACCGTGCTTCACGAATCACCATACCTTTTGTGATCAGAATGTGGCTCAGCGGAAAGCCACTTGAGACAAGAACCAGGGTGATCATTTGCGCATACTCTGATGATAAGACTTGGACAAAATCTGAAATGATGATGCGCAGATTCAAGACTGGCTCAATTATGGTTTTGAAGTAGTGACAGGCTAGATGAAGTTAAATGATAAATCCAGTCTATGTTTTGTCAGAGATTCTGAAGTGGGACAATTCAAATCCGGATCTTGAGCAGTTGGTTATATATTGTAGCTCGACTCACTCTCACATGACATTAACAACCTTCAAAACTGCATACTCATCTACATGAACACATTAAACAACATGATGTTATCATTATTCACATTAGTATTTGGGTCATATATCAGCCAGTTTCTCTTCGTAAGATGCGGACTACCAGAATTTATTTATGCGGATACGTTGGTAACACCCGTCATGGTGAACATCTTCAGCTTTGTACCAGAACATCCTCAAAATGATTTAAGTGGGACTGTCAAGAACGCAAATAAACTCCAGTTTTCAACGAGGATCACGCCATACGCCGCTTTCTTTCAACAATGTAAAGCGGTTAGAGATAGAACTAAAAATCAAGAAATCAAATCTTTAACTGAGAAAGTGGAGTTCATGATTTCAACTCTAACCCCAACTTTCGAATCTTGGGGTGATTGGCTTAAACGTCATCGAGACACAGTCAATGAATTTATCCAAGTAGCGTATCAGGCCTTTGATTCTGATATGAGTCCCAATCACAAGGAAAGGATTTGGATTGTTGGCATTTTATCTGCGATTTCAACTCATATGCCGCCAGATCATAAGACAAAGATGACAATAGAAGAAAAAATCGGGAAGATTCCTTGGACTAATCAAGTGATTTTAGAGATACAAGCTACTAAAGGTTGGTACATAGGTTCTGCAAAATCAATTTTTATCAGATAGTTGGCTGATGTTCACCTCTCGAACTTGGAGTACAGCCTTTGAACCATTGATGACAAAACAATTTGAGTCGCTTTGGCTAAGACATGAACATATTTCAGCAGATGAAGGTAGCAAAGGTAAGTCAAATATTTAGTCAGTGGTTTACAGAACACACTCTTACCTTGATGACGCTTATATAGACGCAGAGGAGCTACTTGAAAGGTCCGATATGTTTGGGTTTTTCGATACAGCGAAGGAAGAACTGATTCCCTGTCGACTGACAACTATATATAAGCTGATCTCGAAGCACCTAATGAAAAGCAAACTTCCTGAGGATGTCAATGAAATATTAGAGCTTATACATGATTTAAAAGACTTCTTTAAGACAACTTATCTTCCCGAATGGGAAGGAAGATATTGCGAGGCAATTCTACGACATATACTAAAACATTCATCTCAGACCCAAAACCTCTTTAGTAACCTTCTTCAGGATTATGAGTTTTTTAGACAAATCCATTTCCCATTTGCAAAGAAGGACATGATCGAATATCTACAAGAAGAGATTGGAATGAATGTTGTGGAAGGATACATAACTAACATAAAGGGTTGGAAGGAGGATGTTAATTCACGCGGAGTTTCTGCAGATGCACAAGTAATTATGGAGAAGTTTTATGACCTCATGGATCCTCAAAGAATTGAGAAAAATTACTGTCATCATCATAAGTTTTTATCTGCATTTTATCTCATATTTCCTACCCGGGAGAATATACTCAAGGACTCAATTGAAAGATGGAAGAAACCACAGGGGATATTGAAGAATTGATGAACATGTGGTCTGAATTGTACCCAGATGGTATCATACCAGATGCCAACTTCGGTGAATATCAATGGATGCTTCTGATCAAAAGTTGGTGAAATTTTCCACTATCTTCTAAACCGTGTACTCATGTTTATGCAGTCCGTATATGAAGACCCCTTTTATGTTCAGGAGGCTGTGCGCCACTGGGCAGTAACCAAGATGAAGCATGCAGAAGAACCAAATATCTTGGAACTAGGGAAATACCTTGACAGCTGGCCAGATGACAACAAGGGGGACTCAGTATCCAAGAGCTATGAGAAAGTTGTTGAAACTTTGACAACTTTACAAAACACCAAAACATCCAATGAGGTTTATGAAATGAGTCTTGAATTCATTTACAATCTGGTAGGTTTTAAGAGTGGAGGTGCAAGTGAGTTTGTGCACATGATGAAAGCCTCTAGAGATTTCAGAACAATCATCCAGAAAGCTGTCAAGAAAGTCAAAAGGATGAGGAAAATTCCTCCTCTGGTAGACAGAACTCTCCCTGTGTCAGCTTCAGGGTTCAATCACTTTCTACAAATACTTGGTGATGTGAGTGATACTGGACTTGTTACTTTGTTTGGCTGTGGCATTGAGACTTGGTTTATTGAATTTTATAAAAACATATGTTGTTTTGGTATATGTTTAGATTTTGGACAATGATCAACTCAATCAAGAACAGAAGGATGTGTCGATTGAACAGGTGACAAAACAATTAAAATTTAAATCACATGATTTTCATTTGATAATTGGTGGCCAGCCTGTCAGTTTCCACTTCAAGGAACATGATGTGAAAGAAGGGAAAAAACAATTATCATCAATCTGGGTTTGAAGCAGTCAAGTTGTCATGACCAAAAGAAACAGTCACCTTCAATTGTTTTCTTTTGTTATCCATAGTGTATTTTCATGTTAGTTTAATGTGTTAATTTACCATTTAACTTCCCACCTTATTTCTGTCCAAATCCTAATTTAGCAACCCAGGACAGTAGACTCTTTACAAGAAAATATATAAACAATTCCATTCATAACACTGGGTATGGTATCAAGTAGAAAGAAGCACAAAATCATGGACCAAATATTCTGTAATTACCAAACCAATCTCAACTCATCATTTTTTGTCTTGCTACTGTAAGAAAGAAAAGGATGATTTTGAATTAATTTTGATGAGATGGCACTAAAATATCTTGTTTTATGATTTTTTTGAGGAAATTCAATGAATCAATTCTTGGTGCTTGACACTACAGCACTGGCTCACTAGCAGTATAGACGTTGTGGTCAACAGTAGAATTTGTATCCCCCCACATGATTGGCCCACTTTTGTTTTTTTCTCCACACTTCTATTTTCTCAAGTCATCCTACACACATCCTATTGCAATCACATTACCTAAAAAATGTCAAGCCAAAAGTTGCAATGCAAGAAAGTGAAAATTTAACTGTGTCTTTTTGCTTGTTCTACTAATTCCCCATACTTTTGTGGAAGAGAACATGTTTACTCACAATAAATCACAGAAAGGCTTGTAGGTTTTCATAAAGTGCCCAACTCCTTTCTATTTCCAATACTACACTTTGATTCAAGTTTAAGGAAAGTGAACATTAGTCATATTCAACATTTGTAACTACCACAAATTTAATATCTTCCAAGGCAGCAGAAAACTCTCCATAGCACATTTATACTTGCTTCTTTGTGCTCCTTGGGGTTTTCAATATTTTGCATGGAAATAACTTTTAAATGTGACAATAAAACTCTGTTGTTAGGCTTCAGAGTGGGAACTGTAAGAACCTTGACTGGACCATGTTATAAACTTGGATTTTGCCCAACCACCCAAAGACAATGGTTGTGGACAGATTTCAAGATTTCAACCAGGCCCAGCAAAAGTGTTCAAAGGTCTCACTCTGAAGGCTGAAAACATTGTTTTGTTAAGAGATCCAAAATTTATTTGATGATAAATATCAAGAAAAAAACAGACATGTACATAGAAAGCCTTATTGTTTTTACCATTTTTGTTTTCTGTTGTGGTGAGTTTCCCACAGGAATATGCACACAGGATTTTCTTTTACGTGTGGAAATTATTAAATTTGGGGTAATGTGTTATCCATAATTTTATTTAGATCCAGGGTGTTGTTGAAAATTGAAGCCAGCTGTGGGCATGTGTTTCACATGATCAGAAGGTTGACTGCACTACATCATGTGTCAACACTCCAATTACCGAAATGATACAGAAAAATGAAGATTTTGCTGGCTCATATTGCATCAATCAAGCAATAAAAGAAAGCATTGTCAATGACATCATGTATTGTTTTGCCCATAACCAATATGAAAACTAGTCCTTGGTTTGGGTTGGCTGTACTTATATGGCAAAATCTGCCATCTGGTCTTGGATGTGCAATATAATACCAATACAATATCAAAATTTGTGTTAGATTGGTTTTGTCATTTGTGGAGCTAGGGACAGATGTACCAATCTTTCAGAGGCTGGTTTCTACAGGAGCTCAAAATTGTCAGGGTAGAACTAGTATTCCATACGAGTGGTCTAGTCAACAATTGTACTATGGTCCTGATGGCCATTCCCCTGGTTACAGGGAATAGGTAGCTGTTAAGTTCTGCAAGAGAAGATTGTGAACAGGTAATGTCAATGACAGATGTTGATCCTGATACTTCTAGGACAAGTTCAGACTGGAGGCCCACTATGAGTTCACAGATGATAGTATTAGCAGGTCACTCCTGAGCCTAGTTTACTGGTAAGTTCAATGGCTAGGGATCTCTTGGTTGTTTGTATAAGAATAATCAATAAAGAATAAGTTGTTGGCACTGATTTTAGTAACTAAGTCAAAGGGGAGCTGATAAGAGCTCTGTGGGAAGGTCTTGGGAGCTGGCTGTTGAAGCAACAGTGGCATGGTTAAGCTAAGTTAGCGCTTAGCGGTGCATTAGCTTGGTGATTTTTTATTGCTAAGCTAACACTAAATCCTTAGCGCACTTGAGCTAAGCTAATCAAATTTTGATTTTTCCTTTAGCGGGTCTGCGCTAAGCTAAGCCGGGATCTTAGCTACCAAAAAGAACATGTTTTAAGTGCAAAAAAGGGCCGCTAAGCCGCTATTAGCGGTTTAGCGGCCAATTAATTGGCTTAGCAGGTGTCATTTTACGCCCGCTAAGCTAATGGCTTAGCTTTAGTGGAAATCCTCTAAGATAAGTGTTAGCGGCTTCTAGCTAAGCTAAGCCAATGTGGCAAAAATCCTTAGCTTATCTTAGCAAGCCACCATTGGTTGAAGTGAGTCAATTTCTTGGTTTTTTGGCGGTGAATATAAAAGTAAAAGTTGTGTGGTAAAAATCAGGCAAGTCCTTTCTCCTTCAATCTGAGGAAGTAAGGTTTCTTTATACCATTTCCTTGTCTAGGGATAACTTGTGGTTCTGATAAACGGATACTTGTTTTCCTAGAGAGTGGTCCATGGTATGCTTGTGGCTCTTCAAGAACTTGATACCTTTCCCAATCCAGTTTTTCATGGCCATGCGGCTCTTTCTCAAGGTGGGAGCTTAGTGAGGTCCACTCCTTGTTGTTGTTTATTCCAACCTTGGTATATTTCTCTTTTGGGACATGACATACTAACCTGTAACATTAATATTCTCTTTATTAATCTTGTTGTGATTTTTTAGTGTCCTCTGTGGGTTAGTTTTTTAGGAGTTGAATCTCTGCCTTGCTTTTGGCTTCAGGATTCTACTCTCTTTATTTTAGGGGGTCTTTGAAACTAGACCAATAAGATGTAGGGCATTTTTATTTATAATGTTCCTTAAGGTTTTATGTAAGGTTATCCAGATGAATCAAATACACCTAAATGAAATATAATAGTTAACTGTGTTTTGAAGAATTCTTGGCTCATACTGAGCTCAAGGTCTGACAAAAAGTATTGTTTCTGATGGCCACCCTTTATAGGGACATACCAGGGTATTTTGATGTGACCTATGTGATTCTGATTGAGATGATGCAGTGGAACATTGTGGTGCTCACAGTGTCACAACATAGCACACTTGTGAACCCCATCTGGTTCATGGCTTGCAATGACAGCACATTGAGCCTTTGTGAAGGCCACAAGAGGTACTCTAGAGCCAATTTAAAACATTTTGGAAGACTATAAGCAATGTCCCAATGAATCAAAGCTCGAGTGAATCCTTATCAATTCACAACAAAACACCATGTGAATATCCTTGTACCACGTTGACGTTGTGGTGATCTATTTATGATATCAAGCAAGAAAATTAATCATCTTTTACTTTACCAATTTATTAGCAAACTTCAATATAGCAGAGAATTCGAAATTCAGGTTTTCAGATCAATTGAAGCTCTTAGAGGCTTATGTATACTTAGTAGCTCATTATTATGTCATCTTATTTCAAAATTATTATTAAGATCAACATAGTTTACTTACAAAGTTATTACAAAAAGACAGAAAAAGAAAAGATAAGAAAAATTTGAAAATATAGGTGTAAAAGTTGGAAAATGGTTTTTAGCTTATTTATAATTAAGTTATGGGTTTTATGAGGTTAAAATATGAAAGAACAACAGTTTATTATACAGTAACAATTCTAATCTTCAAGGTTGATAAGGGAAAACAGAAGTTATTAGCAGAAAGGAATTTTTTCGAAGTTGGTAAACAAGGGTTATGCATGTAGTTTACATATGTAATGGTGGTAGTAGTGGAAATTAAGGTTGCCAAGAGGATTTTCCGGGATTTTTAAGGTTATAGAAGATGATGTCATATTACATGAGCAAGAAAAAGAGAGTAGCAGCTGTGAAAAGTGAAGAAAATAGGTGAAAATCGTCGAAAATGAAGGTTTTCAGATAATTACATGTGTCAAAAGACGTCAGAATAAGTTGGTAGATAGCTCATTCAACGCAGAAGAGTGGATTACATAATGTACAATCTTTAAATCATTAGTAACGGAGGTGTATGTAAAAAGTTATAAGGCAAATAAGAAATTGGTGTGAATCTCGAATTTACAGTCACAAGTCAACATGTAACACCAAAAACCTTAACTTCACAACTCAATATCTTACTCATCACTCATCAGAAGTAGGTCATGTATGTGTCAGAAATGATCAGTAACACGTGGGCTACAAGATGCACTTTAGTAATCAAAAATTGGAGCACATCTGAAAAAATTTGTAATCTCAAAAATTGGGTTTCAGCTAGTTTACAAGGAAAAAACCACCTGTATTCATCTTAAGAAGTGCTGTGCATCATATTATTGTGTCATTGATCACTTTTGGCTGTGAAAATTACATCATACATTAGTAACAAGATCATTACATTGCGTCATTACATGGTTTTTAGGGTTATTTAGGCGGATTTGATTGGTTTTTGAAGCTGTTGACTGTTGTAAAAGTTGTTACATGTGGATATAAGTACTCCTTGATGATTTTAGGATTGTAGCGCCCTTTTCTCCATCTTATACCTTTGTTGTAGTGTTATAAATCATCATTTATTTACTATATTTGTACTAAGATCACTTAAATCCGCCCCTTCAAAGCAAGGAGAAATTTATTTACGTGTGTTAAAGACTACAAGTCAAATTGGGATTAATACTCACAACAGTATTGCTAGTAATAACATAGTGTGTGACTTTTTTGCGCTTAAAAACTGGGAATAATACTACACAACAGTATTGCTTTATTTTCTCTGGTGCCTTATCTATTTCTCTGTTATCACCAAGTGGTCAGCAAGTGCCCTTGTGCTGGTTTCTTTGAAGAAGGCAGTCTTTAGGCAACTTCTACTATATTACACGTAGTAGATTATCCCTTCTTAGGTGTTGTAAAGCTCTTGTTGAGCTTTAAATACTACAACGTGCACACACAAAAGACTTTCCTTAGACCCTGTAAAGACCCATCAAAGAGATGCCACAACAGGTGCATCTTCCCCTTATCAACTGGGGCATCGAAAGTCAGTGAACCCCAGCTGATGACAAAGGATTCTGCATATCCTATGAATAAACTACTATTCACAAATTAGGACACTCAACAAAAATCTCAGTCTAAATCTGACCAAAAGACTTTGAGATCTGGTCCAAAAATCTCTGTGTGTGCACGTTGACGTGCTACACAAATATTGACACGGTGAAAGACATTTGAACTCTAAAAGCTGAAGGAATTACAATCAATGGGAATCTTGTTTAAGTGATACAGTAAGCATCATCAGCTGGTTGCTCAACCCAATTTGCAACTGAGCTGCCATGCACAGTTGCAATATTTTACTACACAGTTGAATTCTTGCGGAAAATACCATGAGATTTAATAAAGAAATTGCTATCATGTTTAAATATGTACCAAGATAAAATGGAGAAATATCATTCTATCAATATTCCTTGAATGTATGGCTTACTTTATAATTTAGACTAAAGAAATGCTCCCTTGTGTGTGCATTCAAAAGGCTTTTCTGATTTTGTCACACTCATTCCTACAAGATGAGAAAATAGCTTATCTTTGACCTTTACCCCTTTGAGGTATCTGCTTATCAGAAGGGGCTGCAAGCTCATGTAATGATACACCACACTTTGACATGTTCATCCTAGATATGATCAAACTGTAAGGGCTCTGGTCTAGGGTCTTGTAGAGCATAGCTCTAATTAAGGCACATAAGGGTTAACCCAAACCTTTCAAAGTCTATGTACAAGTTCTTTCCAACTCCTTTTCTCTAACTTCTAATGTTTTGTATTTGATAATTGTACCTATCTTTTCTTGACATATTTGAAACCATTAAATCAAACCCTTTTTTGTATATCACCACTATGATCAGTTGTGTCCTGTTGTCTTTGATTCCTTGAATGACGTATAATAGTTCGGCTCATTGAATGGGAATGGGTTGAAAGGGTTTTACTTGAGGGAGTGTTTACTTTTAGTATCTTATGTACATATGTAGTTAACAACAAGCCCACTGTGCCAGGTGATTTTTCTCGGACTCGTCCGCCCCTGGCACAGGGGGCTTGCACATTAAACGACAATCGTTGCGTGACTAATAGCCACCTTTTGGTGGGTGTTTTTTCACTTCGCTTTTACACCACGACCCACAAATGCATTTTCTTCAAAAAAACACCATGTCGTCATCATCAAATCAATTTATTCCATCACTGCTATCGACTTCAAATCCCAATTCAACACCTTCAAGATCAACTGCTTATTTTGAGATTTGAAATTTCAACCGCTAAGATTGTTATGTGTACCCTTAAAAAGGCTCGAGAGATGGTCAATTGACTCCCTTAAACAAACTTATTACTCGTTTTCCAGCTCAATTCTTGTGAGCTGGCACTTTTGATTCTCTTTTTTTTCTAATAGAAGTTATGTACAAGATGCTGAACTCATACCAGTCAGTTTCAGAAACAACATCAAAGTAATGTTGAATGAGATAGGATGGGTTGCATCCAAAAGTGACCCAAATTTCACTTTTTGGGGCTATTGGTCACGCCAGAGATGTCGTTTAATGTGCAAGTCCCTCGTGCCTCGGCTTCGGGTTACCGTGAGCTTTTGCACGATTGGACTTGGGTTAAGTTAGGTACATATGTAGTATCAAGTAACTATGTACTTAACTACATACTTCTCAACTTAATTTTACAGTTTCAAATTTGTATATCGACTTCGGACCCACTCAGCTTCATGCTCAGCTCAATGACCTCGACTGCCGATTGACAACTTCGATTTCTTTAACTTCCACTTTACTCTCATTACTATCAGAAGAAAACCATGTCGTCATCATCAAATCAATTTATTCCATCACTGCTATCGACTTCAAATCCCAATTCAACACCTTCAAGATCAACTTCTGCAATGGCTCTAGCTAAAAGACCTCAACTCGGTTCATTGACCGCTTCAAATGATAAACCAATACCCAAGAACGCTCAAAGGAACAATCCGGCTTTCCTCACCAAACTATTCACGTTCGCTTACTTGATTTTACTATCTCCGGTTTAATTTCTGATTCGATTGGATGAAATGTCGATACTTACGATTGTTTTACCCTTTCAACTGATAGAATGGTGAATGATTCAGAGACCAATCATCTCATTAGATGGTCCGAACCATCTGGTGACTCTTTCTTTGTCGTCTCATCTGAACGATTCGGACGTGAACTTTTACCAAAATATTTCAAGCACTCCAATTTCGGTTCATTTGTTAGACAACTTAATATGTATGGTTTTCATAAAGTACCTCATCTCAATCAAGGCGTTTTGCAAGGTGAAATACCCGAAACAGAGATGTACGTATTTTCATTTTCACACTATTCAGAGCGAATTCCAAGATCTTTTTTGTTGGCTGATCATGTTTGGTTTTCCTTTACTATAATTTCACGCATACATTATGGTTTTCAGGTTGGAATTCACTAATCCTCATTTTCAGAGGGGCCAACCGGATATGCTATGCCTCATTCAACGGAAAAAAACTGCACCTGAACCTACTCCGGCTACAGCGCAAGCTGAGGGCGCCGACCCTGCTCAGCAGAGTACATCTACTCACCCATCTCTAGACTTGGCAGCTGTATTATCCGAGATCACTGCTATCAGGAAACATCAAGCTTTACTTTCGACTGACTTGAAGAATCTACAAAGCTCAAATGCTCATCTTTGGCAGGAGGCCATCGCTAGTCGAGAACGAAATAAAAAGTGTCAAGAGACAATCAACAAGATTTTGGGATTTCTTGCTCAAGTGTTTGGTGGTCGAGTTTTAAATGCTAATAGTCAGTCCTCTAGGCCTAGTAATAATAATCCAACCTCACGATCCCCTGAAAGTGACCTCGATACCGACTTAGGTGTCAACGAACATGGAGAAGATGAAACTGACGTGATGGTTGGTGAAGCTTCGATACCCACCGGTGACAGTCCCGACACTGAGATGGATTCTAGAGACCCTACGGACGATCAACTAAGTTACCCAACGACTTCAACCCAACCCGCTCCAATCTATAATATGGCTAGGCTTCCAAGACTAATGTTGGAAGACGTTCAACGGGATGATAAATCAGATCAACCTCAGAGTAAGATCACTTTTTCACTGCAATTCCACTTTTGAGTGTTCAGACAAACTAACGAAACATTTTCCATACGTCATTAGAATCACAGGTCGATGACAGGTTACGACGAAATGTTACCCCCAAAACGCCTCGACGCAAAGGTCATTGATGTTGCTTTTGCTTATCACGACACTTTGACTAACATGAGCTTGATCTTTTATCAGACTCCCACAACTTGTTCGCTGCGGCTCTCACTTCCTTGACTTCCTCACCTAAACAGAATCCGAAAAATCGTAGTCGATTTGCCAATGTATCCGACTCGCCACCTGAAGCGATGATTGACCCGAATTTAGAGACCTCAGTTCAAACTCCACTTGGAACAGCCGAATCCCCTCCAAGTCCTCAAGAAACTGCAAAACAGTTCTCACCTGATGCAGTTTTACAAGCTTTGTTTAATGAAAACTCCATTCAAAACCCATTTAGTTCGAGTGATGGAATGTTTTCTGGAATCAATTGGACCGATTTGATTTCTACCAACGAATCAAGTATCCTAGATAATACTACTTCAACACTCCTTCCACCACAAAGCCAGCTGACATCCTCATCACCCCTCAGGATCACTAACGGTCTCGATGACCCTCCTTCACCTTCTTCTATTACCCAACCCACCACACGTCCCAACCCAAGTTCTCCTAAAACTTCGATTGCTATAAATCCATTAACTCAAACTCAAGAGATTAATTCGATTGATCAAAAAGTGGAAACTTTGGAAGCTGCTATCGAAAGGTTGGTAGGATACCTACCTAAGACTGTTGACGATAAAACCTTTGAGGTCGATAACAATAAGAATGACGTTTTAAAGATGGATAATGATAATCTAGCTTCATTTCGAAGTCAAACAAATGGCGATCAAGCATTTGATCCGGATGCATTTATGAAATACTTTTGTATGTTAACAAAATAAGTATGATATCCGGAAAACAGAGACATGATCCAACTAATTTCAAATTCTTTATTGTTTTGAAAATCGATAGTGAGTTCAGATAAATCTTTATCTGCCCCGACAGCGAACCAAGTACCAAAGGATCACAATGTTAATGATATACGAAGTGATCCAATCGAAGGCTTCACAGCAAATAAGGTAGTAGCCGGTAATTTACCTGAATCGACTGTAACGTCAATTCAAGATCCAGCATTACAAGATTCGATTGATTTTGATCGAATTTTAGATGAATGGACATGTGATGAAGCACTTGAATCAGATCAACCCACTAAATCGAATTTAAGTCCAGTTTTAAGCGATCTAAGAGCGATCTCAGAATCCAATAAACCTTCTTCTACTACTCTTGTTGGACCATTGACCAGAACCACATCAAGAATAAATGATTTGACTAGTAACAACAATATACCTGATCGAATCTCTACACCTGATTTAGCTCAACTATTAGGCGTTTCTATTGATAATCCTAGTACGACTACCACCAATCCTTCATCTAACGCTGAATTAACAAATGACAAAAATGAATCTGCGATTTTCAATTTCGATGATGTTGATCAATTAAGAAGAATAATGGGACAAAAACCTGAAATGAATCATCAAATCAATAAAACTGTTAATGAGAAACGTGGGAATGGTGGAAATGGAAATGAAGATGGAATTTATCATTCAGGTGGGATCTTAAATCGAAATAAAAAAGCTAGGGTTTAACTAGGAAACGAATCAAAGATTGGGAAAACAAAATGCTTTGATTATTTTACCACCACCACCACTACTCTTAAACAAAAAGAATGTACCAGAATTCCACCAAAAAAAGAAACCAAAGGAGAGAAGGAAAAAAAAGGTATTTTTAAAAAAACATCTTATTTCTTTTGATTGATTGGTTTACTAAATGTAAAATTATATATACTCTATATATTATCAATAAAAATGCATTTTCATGATGTGATGATCGCTGAACATATCTTTCTCAAAAAAAACTTTGGGGTCTTTTGGAATTTTCTTTATAAGAATTGAGGAGTCTTTTTATTTGAAAAGTATATAAATATCAAGATCCAAAAAGGAAAGAAAAGTCAAAAACAAGTGATTCTTTAATTAAACTTCTTTGGTTGTTTGGTTTGGTTTTTTTGGTACCTTGAAACTGTTTTCTTTTTGTCAAGATTTGAAAATGTATTACTTAACACAAAAATTGCAATTTTTTTAGTTTGTTTTTTTGGTTCTGCAAGAGGAGTAATGGATTATAAATTGATTGTAAACCAAAAAATGAATCAGTGTAAGTAGCTAACTATCTCCACTTTTTCGTGAATCAAACTTAAGTTAAAAAATACCTTTTTGTGAAAAAAACCAAATCAATTGTTCATGTCTTGATTTATGAACTTGATGATTTGAAAAATAGGATCACTGATCATGTCTCGGTATGAACAAAAGTTTTGTGTAACTCATAACAATCATAAATGTGAGAAGCATTTTCATTGAGCTTCATCTTGAAAGTTGGTCAAATATCTAGCAAGTGTAAATCATGAATTTACATAGGAAATCATCTATTTGAAGATCACTTTTCATCAGAACAACTTCCAAAAGATGTTGATCAAGTTAAACTTGTTCAAAAGGCGTGAATTTTTATAGCAATAGCCAAATGTTTACTAATATTGAACAAAAAATCCCACCAACAAAAGGTGCACCCTGAAAACCAAACTGCATATACGCTTAGGAATTGGCTGTAAAATCACTATGGACTTTATTTGAATCAAGTCTTGAAACATACACCCAAATCGCAGAAATCATCTTGTACTGAAACGAAGCAGTTTAATTATAGATGGACAGCATGATTATAAATCTTTGAAGTGAAGATGCGCAGATATGAGACTTGACTCATGTGGGTCTGATAAAATTTTGAAGTGTGTAATGGGCTCGATAAAGTGCAAGAAAATACGTAAATGCTTTGTTAGAAATTTTGAAGAGGATATAATTCAGATTGGAAACTTAATTTGGTATACTGATATATAGCTCCTTGAGTCACACTCACATGAGAGATGCCACCTTCAAACCGGAGAAAATAGCTACCCAAACACAGCAGGCAAGATGAAAAGAATATTAACATTATTGGTAGTCGGTTTAAATCTAAGCCAGTCTTTCTTTGTAAGATGCGGACTAGAAAACGTGAATTCCATGGACACAACGGTCCAACAATTCTCAAGAGTCGAGATGGTGAACAGTTTTAGCTTTTTACCAGATCTTTCACAAGATGTAATTGGGGTCGTCAATGAAGCGAACGCACTCCCGTCTTCGACCAAAACCACACCATATGCAGCTTTCTTTCGAAAAAGCAGAGAGGTTAAGGAACGAACTGATAACAAAGAGATTAAAAAATTGGCTGACATAGTGATCTCAATGATTTCGACTCTTAGACCAAGCTTGGAGTCTTGGGAAGATTGGCTTCAAAGAAATGAAGAAAAAGTGAACGACTTTATAAGAGCAGCGTCTCTTAATCATGAGATGGGTTGTGATGACATTGAAAGGACATGGATTGTTGGAATTTTATGTGCGATTTCAAAGTATTCACCAACAGATGTGGATGGAATGACAGGAGAACAAAAGATTAACAGGCTCCCTTGGAGTAATCAAGTGACTCTGGAAATAAAAGCTGCCAAAGGTTAGCCAATTCTTCAACTCATTCTCGACCAGTTGGCTAAGCTTGTACTGCCTTCATCTTAAACTCAGCCTTTGAACCATTTATGACGAAACGATTTGAGACACTGTGGCTTGGAAAACATATTTCAGCAAGTGAGATTAGCAAAGGTATGTAAACTTACTTTTGTCTCATTGTTTTGAAGGGTACAACTTTATCTTGATGGTGTATATACAGACTTGGAGGAGCTTCTCGAAAGGGCCAGGATGTTTGGTATCTTTGACATGGCCAAGAAAGAACCGAGCAGAGGGACCAAAATCTACAAGCTTATCTCAAAACACCTCTTGCAAAGCAAACTACCTCAGGATGAGGATGGGATCTTAGATGTGATCAATGATTTCAAAGATCTATGTCAGAACACTGCAGTCTATGGATGGGTGACAAAATATTGTGAAGGAATCTTTCGACATATACTAAATCATTCATCCCATACGGCAAAAGTTTCCAAAACCCTCTTTCAAGATTATGGGTTCTTCCGGAAAATTTCTTTTGCCTTTGCAAAGCTGGACATGATTGACTATATAAATCAACAACCCAATTTTCCAGCCAAGGAGAAGCACCTGAAGAACATTGAGAGTTGGAAAGAGGAAGCAACCTTAAAATCATTCTCTCCAGGGGGTACATATCTTTTGGAAAGTTTTTACAAAAATCTGGATTGTAATACTAGACAAGAAGATTATCTTGATCATCATAAGTTCATAGCTGCATTCTTCCTTGTCTTCCCTACCAAGGAGAATCATCTTAAAGAATCTATTGAAAGGGGATACAGTTACCACCACCAAGAAGTTGAAAAATTGATGGGCATTTGGTCTAGAGTGTACCCAGATGGTGTTGTACCAGATGCTACATTTGGTGAATATAAATGGATGCTCCTGGTGAAAAGTAAGCAGATTAGACAACCCATATCAAAACAAATTCATGTGCACTAATATTTATCTTGTCTCACAAATCTTCAGATCCTGCTTGGCTTGAGAGAGTTATGCTCCACCAGATAGCAACCCAGCTGAAGATTGCAATGGGACCATGTATTATGGATCTAGTTAATGTACTTGCAACTGGGCCATGGTCAAGCAACTACATAGGTTTTGCAGCTTCTGTGCAATATAAGAAAGTCATTGATAATCTACAAGTGGCTGATGCTGGTATTGCAGCTGATGTGGTTTATGAACTGAGTCTGAAATTGGTGTACCACTTGATAAGGTTCAAAAGCGGATGTGACAATGGATTTTCAGGAATTTCAAATCCTACAAAAGAATTCAGAACAATCATCTACAATGCCATAGAAACTTTCACAAAAATGAGGAAAGCTCATCCCCCTGTCAAAGGAAATTTACCTGCTTCAACTCCAGGATTTGATCACTTTTTATACACAGTCAGTGATGTGAGTGGTAGAATTAACATTTTCTTTGACTGTGTACATCAGGTTATTAATTTTTAGCTTAACATATGTTTTTTGTTGGTATCTAATAGATTTTGGACAGTGGTAAACTTGATCATACACAGGAAAAAATGATGATCAAACAGGTGACAGAGCAATTAAAATTTAAACCACAAGATTTTCATTTGATTATTAGTGGGCAACCTTTTAAGTTTGAATTCAGTGAACCTTTAAAAGCTGAAGTGAGTAACCAGAAAGATGCAACATCGGTACTTGATATTGATCAAAAGGGATCAGGGCCAGACCACACGCAGTATATCCTTAAGACACCTCAAAGACCATCAGGATCCAAGATAGCTAATCTTGCCAAATATTTCATATGGAAATGTGAGAAGCACTGAATTGTGTAGGTTATAGCCATATGGTATCAGCATATGTATTTGCACTTTTTCCTTCAGTATCTTTCATGCTATCCAAAATTGATTCACAATTGATTTCATCAAAAATTGTCATCAAGACAAACCTCACAGTGCCCGTGGAGAGCGCCCCTGGCGTCGGGGGCTCCAACAAGTACAAAGGCTTGCCTTTGTACTCTTGAAGGCCCCCGACATCTAGGGCGCCCTTCACGGGCACTGTGCCTATTTCTGTTATCAAACTCTCTGGCATTTATTCATTAGTTTGAATTTTTTTCTTGCCTTTGGTGCATCCCATTTTTCAAGGGTTTTATTGTGTGAACACCTTCTCAGATACCACTTTGGGTCCTTCTTCTCTCTCCTTTCATGATGCAATCATCACATATGATCATGCCTTGGAGATCTCATTTGATCTGGTATTTTGCAACTTCCACAAGGTCTTCTGGATGCCAATCATATTCCTCCTCATTCAGCCGGGTTTGAATCAGTTAAAAAACCATGACCCAAGAAACTATCTACACCTTGGTTTAATAATTAGGATTTTCTACACAAAAGATTGTGCAGGATCCTATATATATGTTATCAAATTCTTGTCCGGGTTTCATACTAAATTTCAGATCAAATTTGATAGAAAACAAGATTAGGAACAGTATTGTATGACACAAACCAATTATTGTAACCCCAGATGGTGTTGGAAGTTGAACTAGATTATGCTTACAGTCAATTCACTTGTGGTACATCTTTCTTTGTGTGAAGAATTTTCTAGATTTTCTTGACCAGCATTTTCTGTGACATCTAAAATAATGGTGTGTAGACCACCTCTCACAAGATCTGCAACCTTGAAATCAAGTGTTGCAGTGAATGTTGATTTCCAGAAACTGTGGGGTATCTTCCAGGTGGAAAATTAGCTCCACAGAATGCAATTCTCGGATCCTATAATTTAGTCCAATGATAGGTATATTCTTGCATAATTTGTGCATTATCTCAAGTTACTCACACCACCAACATATTTATCCAAGGTATTTTTGAATTCTAAACCTCAGAGAGAAGCTATCCTAGGATTTGCCTCCAGAGATGCCTCAGATTTTTTAATCCAAGGCATCTATGTTGGAAGTGTCACAGTCATACCCACACAAGTGCATGATCAGGGACAAACCCAGGCTCTTCAATCTCATGGGTTATACAGAGTGATATAATGGCCATGATATGCAAAAATAAATGTTGAAATACACAACATTATACATTTTCATGGGTTGGGGTCAGGTTTAAGCCTTGGGCCTCATGGGTTATGCATATTTCTATGCAACCTCATCATGTATTTGGGCTCAAAGCCATGCAATTTGCCTTTGAAATCTTGTTCCTTTGAGTTCCAACTGGTACTTTGCCAGCTTTGACCCAATTATTCAAATGACCTAGGTTTTAGCCTACACCAAGTCTGAAGAGGCCTGCGCTATGCAAAATGACTGACTGTGTAACTTTGCAGGTTTGACTGCGATAAATCACCAACAATGGATCACTGTGTTGCTAAAAGTCTGCAACACAATAGCAACACGTTTTCACAGGACCCACCAGAAACACAAAAAGTTGTGAAAATTCCCAATGTGTTGTCCCCTGACATTCCAAGTCTTGGGGGTTCTGATGCTTAGCAGCATGATTTGCCCAAACCAATGTCATAATGGGCAAATGTCACACAGGGTCTCACTTCAACCCTTCAGTCTCTGGAAGCTTCAGCACGCAAAGCCACATATCAGCCTATTTTTGTGATTGGATCAGATAATATGGGCGCATCCCTCACCAGAATGGCCTTCTGAGTGCTCCAAGGCGCGCCTGAGACGCGCACTGAATGTTTGCCCTGAACGTGTTGCACCCACCTGAACTGCTGGCCATCCACCAAGCGAGGCTGAGCTGTGGGAGCTGGTCAGGCCTCAACCCGTCTCAAGGTCTCCTGAGTGCTGGCTTTAGATGTAGGTTGGGGGGATCCTTCATGATCGAAGAAAGTGAAAGCTGAGAATTATTTAGGCAGAGAACACGATCTGATAGAAGAGAGATATGCTTATACAGCGTGTGTACATACACCGAAGTTTTTTACATGCACTTCGTTCAAAATCAGAGTGAAACTTTTTCCCTCATCGAACTTTCTCAAAAACATCGACTATCAAGTTAAAAAACAACGAAAGAAACCCTTCATTCATCATCATCAGAACCTTTTCAAAGGATGTCAAATCGAATCGGATCGCTAGTGTTTTGTTTGGATTGTGGAAATTTATTGAACGTACCTGGATCTGAAGATTATCTATCATGTGATCAATGTGGCAAAATGGAACTATCAAATCGTCAGTCAAAAAGCTTAATTCATATATCAACTTATCTCTCAAAACAAAAACGTATTGAAGCTTGAATCTACGGGGGGAAATATAGTACAAGAAGGTTTAGAAATCATCACTCGTTCTCAATCAAATGCATTTCCATCAAGTCTAAGACAAAAGAGAGCCCTTGTGCAATCTCATTTGACTACTAATGAAGATCAAGATCAAGGAAAAGCTGCACCTTTAGTACGTCTCTTTCGAAACACACACCTTCTTCTTCTCGGATTATCTTTCAAGTGAAATTATGGTTTTTGTTTTTACTGACTTTTTTTTTTTGAAAATTTGTTGTTTCTTTTGTAGATGGATGAAATTTGTCCTAAATGTTCAAATCCTCAAATGAAATATCATACATTACAGCTTAGATCAGCAGATGAAGGTACAACTGTTTTTTATGAATGTCCAAAATGCGGGTAAGCTTACAAAATCATTCTTTTAAACTGAATCATTCCTCATGTTTTAAAGAACGCATTTAATGAAACAATTAAAGCTAATCCTTAATTTGAATGAAATTCTTTTCAACTACGTAGTCATAAGTTCTCGACCAATAATTGAAGAAAAAAATACCAATCGGATTATTGAAAGGCTCAAATATTCCTTTATACCTGTTATTCTTGCTTTATTGTGTTTAAAATCTAAAGGGAAAAGTACATTGAATTTCATTTGTCATTTCTCGTTTGTTTGTAATTTAATGACACGCTTGTTTTTGTTTGCTTTTTCCCGAAATTCAAAGGAATTTCAGTGTTACAATGTTTTATAAATCAAAGCTAATCAATTTCAACAGAAAAGTTACTTGAATCTTTCAGACGCTCAATGATATCAAATGTGCCACACATCAAAGTCCTTCAGTCTGAATTCTATACCCGCTTTTGAGAGATGTTATGCCGCCGGAAAAATTGATACGCTGCGCTGTGAAACCTGGCAATGACAAAACGCATAAACGCTGGCCCTCTGCACTAGCGCAGTTGTGTCGTAACAGTATGCAGCGTCACTCATCAGCTGGCGTACTCAGCACATCTTCACACATGAATCAGCAAAGATAGGGAAGATGAAGTTGGCACTGATATCCGTCATACGATCATTCATCGTCGCTGTTCCTTTCTAAAGTCAATCACTCAAGAATTTCAAAAAGACAATGCAGTATGATGCAAATGCCGTGCTTAAAAGAAACCTTGAATCTTGAAAGCAAGCAGCAGATCCCTGTCATGTAAGCAACTCAAGTAAGCAAGGACATAACCCATGCTTTCCTAAAAAGACTCTTGTTGATGAGTTACCAATTTATTTTCAAGTGACTTATTTCTACTGATCAAAATATGCTAATCTTTCTTGTACCAGTTCTGTGATTAGCTTTGGAAGAAAACCGCTTCATCATCATGGAATGGTCATCCTTCTGAAGTCATCAGATATCCAAGAAAAGAAACTTTCTATTGAAATTTTTGGGCAGAATTTCCTCAATCCAAGAATCAAGCATGAGTTTTAGAAAAAAGAGGTGCCTGAGTGCGCTTGAATAGAAGGAAAACTTAACCCTTATTAGTGGGCAGCAAGAAAGGTGCAAAATGAGAACATATATGTGTGTGTGTGTGTTGTGTTGTGTTTATCAAAAATCTACAACACCATGATCTTCCGCATTTCATTCTTCTTCATCTCTGTCATCTTCAACTATTTTATCCTTCTCAATACCAACAACATTCAATTTCAAAGAATCATATAAAGACTTAATGATACCAGCTTAATTGTTCACCTCCTTCTATCTTTTTGTGTCTGATGACTGTAATTACATTGCTCAGGTATAGATATTGAATTTGCCTTCTGAAGTCATCTCATTATATAGTTTTGTCATCTTGCCATCCTTCTCTGAGTAAATCTGGCATTTCAAATTACTGTCTTTTGTGGTGAGTGCACTGCTGGGAACAGTGAATCCAATTAAATTAGAACTAATCCCTGGTGGCGGTCAAAGTTAAACCCAGGTCTTGTCAGTTGCCATCATTGATAATTAGGTGAGTATATGCACTGCCACTAGAGCTGATATCCGGTTCAAATTGAGGTAGACATGAGATTATACGATTAGGTTATACCCACTCCCTTTTTGAGAAAACGGTTACACTGTACCTACCGTACTCCAACCCCGAACTTGATGAAATATATGAGGTGGCGTAAAGCCAATGCAGCTGGTGTTTCCAGGCTATTGGAGTTCAAGCAAATCATTGAAGTCCGTCGAGCTCACTCATAAATAAGCTTGTTTCAATGTTCTTCTCTCAGAATTTCAAGAGGAGGGCTTTCAAAGCATCTAAAATTAAATTCATATCTTTCTCCATGGCCCGGATTTGCTAATCTTTCTTTTCACCCTGGCTCATTACAAGGAGGCGTGCTACCCCTTTTTCATAAGAGAGATTACCATTCAAAGCATCCAGATTGATGATCTCTTTCTCTTCTGCATAGAATTATCTTGGATTTAATTGTGGTATCCATTCATCAAGAATCAAAGATTATCCAATACCCAAATAAAAGAACCAAAAAAACTTCTTTACAAATCAAACCAAATCAAACTAAATAAACAAAACCAATCCATTTTCCTAGTCAAGCTCTAAACAACCTTTAATGAAATTCCTTAAACGAACTAGAAAAACAAAACCTCTTGAAATCCGATTGTATATATGCACATCATATGTACTTATTTACTTACTTACACATCCACCTCTTTTTTTCAAACGTTTTTTATCCTTTTATAAACGTTTTAACAATCAAGAAGAACGAGTAAAAGAAAATCAAAATCCAAACTTATTTACGAATCGAAATTCAAAACCTAAAGAATCCAAAAAAAAGAATATCGAAAAGAAAGAAACCATAATCCAATTTCCAAGTGAATTCAAAACTCTAAAAACAAAAAACAAATCATGATGAGTTTTGTTAAGATTAAATTATAAACTGATTGAAATCTTACCAAATCTATCTCCTTGTTTAGCAACCCAAAACTTACAACCAAGTTGAAATTGGTTAGATTCTAAATCCAAGATCTCATTAAAAATCTTTTCACGTATATCTAAACCATCAAACTGAATTCCATTTTCAATAGGTGTAATATCCTCTTTAATATGAATAATCACCACTTTTAACCCCCCAAAAAAAGTATGAATTAGCTGAATGATTAAATAAGAGTTGATAAGAGTTGCGAGCTTACCATTTAATCCGATCAATTGGTTTTGTGAAGTTTCAGTTGAAGAAATCTGTTTTGCAAAACAAACTAATTCTTCAAACAAAAAAGGAGGTGAAAGGTGTCCATAAAGTAATTGAGCAGGTCTAGAAGACTTTTTTCCAAAACCCCCCCGACAAACCAAAAAGAAAAAAGAAAGAAACCGCATTTCAAATCAGGTTAAAAAATCAATCAATTTTGAGAATTGGTTTCTATGACTTACATCATATGAACATTCAATAAAGATAGTCCTTAAGTTTCCAGCATTAAAACTGATAGCCGCTTCTTTCCAAACTTTTTGGTTTAAATTTAAACCGGTAATCGAATCAGGTCCAAGATCTCCAAAGAAAAGGAATTGATGTTGGTTGAGTTGATGGGTGATAAAGAATGCACTTGAATGATAAACTGATGATGGGTTTGAATCGTTTGTAGGATTGAGATCGGTTCCGTTTGGTTGATGAGGTGAATCGGGTGAATCAGATGGGAAAACGAGAGGAGTTCCTTGGTGTGTACATGTACCATGAGCTATTGGTCTGGCTTGAAGTTCAAGAGATGGACAAATCGTCACTGGTTTTGTTTCTGATTCGAATCTGAGTCCAAAGTAAACAAGAATTCATCATCAATTCGTCATTCAAGTTCTGGTTCTAATTGAAAAACTTTACATACCTTCTTAACCAAAGTGCAAGTTGATCAGAACAATCAAAATGAGCTAATTGAGGCCATAAACCAGCTTGAAAAACATAAGACAATCGATTTAAAGTTTCATCACTACCCCAAACTGATTTAGGAGTGTTGATCAAAGCACCAGCCGATAAAACTAAAGAAGAAATATGATCAAAATGTGAATGAGTAATACAAAAGGAAGTTAATGAACTATAAATTGAACCAGCAAGTCTTGAAATCAAAAGTGTTTCTGTTGTTGTTGTTGTTGTTGTTGTTGATGTTGATGATCTTAAATCAGGTAAATCAAAATCCCAAAACGGTCCATAACCTTTTCCTAAGAAACTAAATCTATTTCATCACTGATCCGATTCCAGATCCAGCTTCTAGACCAGTAAATCCTTGATTCCATTCTTTTGAATGACTTTTTAAAAAATATGAACTTAGATTCTCTTCTGATGGTCCTCCTCCACAACCAATCACAATTAAATCAAAATCAGGTTCATTAGATAATTTAATAATTTCACTTTTTTCTATTGCTTTTTCAATTTGGTTTATGTTGGTTTGATTTGGTGTTTCTACAAGTAAGCTTTCGGGAACCTTTAGCTCACTTTCATTCGACTCGCTTTTCACCATGCGGGCCTTTAAACTGAAACGTCACTTGTTGGTTTATGAACGGTTGTTTTTTTCCCAGTCGTTCGAAAAAAAGGCGGTTAAGGTGGGTTTAAAGTTCGGTTAAGCTTTTGTGTGTATGATATGTATTGGTTGAAAGCCGTTGAAGAATGAGGAAGAAGTTGAAGGTTGAAGAATGAGATTTGTACAAGATCGGAATAAAATGGAAGATTGTTGGACAAAAGTGGTTTGACTTTCAAATCAAGAAGTCGGTTTCAAAAAGCAGCTGGTGGTAGCGTCGCGTGTCAGACTTTTCAGTCAGTTGTGTCTCATTTTAAAAAAGGAAAGAAGTTGAACTAGTAAGAAGATTACATAATCGGTTGAAACCCTCAAGTGGTGAGAAAGTGCAAAATGCCGATTAAGGAAAATGATGCACTTTTAATCCAGTTCTGGATATCCAGATCAGGTATTGTCATATGTTGAGTCAGAGTCTTCCTCTCATATCCTTGGATGTCCATTGTCCATATTATTATTGATTGAAAGATACATTGATATTTCACACCTTTGTTTTTTTCCCTTTCAGGCATTCAATTCAGCACATTCTAATCACAAGATGATACATAGCAGCAAGATGCTCAGCTTCATCCTCAGGATACCTTTGATTGTGTCAGAACTTTTATAAAAAACTCCACTGTCCTCCATATCTCCCAAGCCTTCAAAATATGAGTAAATTAAGTACCAAATTTATGATTCTTAAGGATCTCTTCTGCATATATTCTTATCTTCAAAAGAAACTGTTCATGCAAAATCCACAATCTTGAAGAAGCTACTGAAATGCATGATGCATAGTTAATGAATCAATCAGTATACCTTCAATGACCTGATCAAGTATATAATTTTGTTGAAAATTTGAAATTAACTAGTTTTTCAAAGGCCTTGGAAATCTTCTATCAGCTTTTTCATTACTTACTTTTGCTTTGGAAGGCTTTGTTTATAAAACATTGTATGGAATATTTACTGTATTGATTTATCTACCCATAGATTTGTTTTCCCTCTTATCATCATTTTCCCAAAATATCTTGCGCCTTGCATGTCATTCTGAAAAGGATACTAGCTAGGGAAAACAATTTTAAACCTTCAGGTGTTGAAAAGAGGTACAAAAACATGATCAAGGTGTCAAGGGCGTCAGATGTCATATAAGTGAGCAGAAAAATAAACAACTTGCTGAAAGGTGGCAAGTAAAAGATGATCAAACTATTTAGTAAGAAAACAGAAAACAACAACAAACATGAAAATCATGTCTGCTTGATACTATAGCAATCAGATCTCCAGACATACTCTAAGTATGCCCACAAATGATGCTTTGAGATGAAATGGTACAACAATACGAGGCACACAAAGGAATTCTAGATAGGAGGAATGCACAAAGATATATCACACAAACCTGAGCATGTTGTGAACATATAGTGATGACAATATTAGGATGATGGCAAGTGACCAGACCCTGAATTGATGTTGTCATAAACAATGAGCTTCTCTTAAGCTTGATTTTTGGATAAAGAGACTTACCACTGTTGATCTGAACTCCTGCAATCAAACTGTCTTTCACCTCAGCTAACTCCAAAGCTTTTGTCTTGGCCTCTTGGATATCTAGAATTGTTACAGACCCCGGTCAACGAATTGAACATAGTATTTATATATACCTCAATAAATCTGAATGACTGACCCTTGGCAGCTTGTATGTCTTCTTTCACTTGATTACTCCAATTGAAATTCTCAAAATATTTCTCTGCTGTCATTCCATCAATGTTTGGAAGATGATCTAAGATTGCTGCAAGGATTCCAGCAGCCCAAAGTCTTTCATTTTTTTCACATCCTGATTTTGAATTAAAAGCTTTGTGAGCAAGTTCAAAGCAATCTACAGCGTCGCTTTTTCGAAGCCAATTTCCAAAAGTCACATCGTTTGCTTTAAGCTTAGAGATCATATTCAATACCTTTATAGCCATTTGGGCGAGTTCTTCGTTTTTAGTTTGCTGCCTGATCGAACGACTTTGTTTAAAGAAATCTGCGTATGGCGTGTTCTTACTTGGAGGATGGAGTTCTTTGAACTTTTGACGGCGTTCAACATCGATCCCATTCCCGTCGAGGTGAACATCGTCTGCTAGAAAACTTGCGCCGTTCACCGTCTTGGCTGTGGGTACGGAATTATGGGCCTCAAGCATTTTGAGATAATCTGTGTCTGCATCTACAGGCATACCGCAATGCATAAGTCGAGACGAAGTGATGTTCAATGCGAGTAGCAATAAGGCTAAAAGAGTCTTCATCTTGCGGGACATTTTTGCCGATGGATTTATGTTTTCGAGAAGGGGGAATCTGATGTGAACACATTCAACTCATCTTTGAGTAATATATATCATCACGTACTCAGTTTCTGTCTGATGGAGAGATAATTTCAACATCACATCTTCTAACCTGTTACAAATAACCGCGCGACAGACGAAGCGAATGTCTTTCGACTGCCCTCCGAGCGCTGCCGCTGTAATTTTGTATCGGAGATCCATGATCTCAGTTTTGCTGCACTGAGTCTGCAACTGTGGCTGTACCTTATCGCACTGCACGCTGGTCAGTCTTGAGGGAAAATAATTGTGATGTACAATGCTGGCGGGCTTGTAAGTTGTAACATCCCGCTGCATCCTCTGCACACCTTCTGCGGCATTTTGGTGACTGAAGCATGCACTTGCAATTCCAAAAGGTATGTTTTTTTCCAAGGGTTACAGCAATTTAGTGTTACCTTAGTGTTACTTCCTCAACCTCTTTCAATTAATTTATACCAATTTGTTCTTGCCACCATTCAACTTCCAGGCTTCAACCTGCTTTACCTGTGCACAGGACCCCAGTCAGATCATGTATACCTGACTTTTGGTATTTTTGACCTGGGTGATTCCTGTTTCCTCCCTAACTGAGATTTTGGTTTTTGGATTTTTGTGAATCTGTATGCTTTGCATCCCTAAGCCCCAAACTTTATGAGCACTCCTATTGACTTTTTCCCTTGGGTTGTCATTAAAAAGATGCCATGGTTTTGAATTGTGGTGTGAGTGTTGGCTGGAAAGTAATAGAACATAGGAGTTACCAAATGACCCTCAACTTATTTTCTAGGCATACAATCACTTTTCTGGCAGTCTATCACACAGAAAACATTACTCCTTTCATTTTGGGATCACAGTCAAATGCCGCTTAGTGCATCTTTACCTAAGTGCGTATCTCCATAGATGCATCACATCTCTTTCCAGAATTTTTTAGTGGTGGTAACACTGCGGGAATCAATTGGTTCAAAACCCGATTGAGGAAAGTTGCGGTGAAGGGTCCGCAACTTTCTTCAATCATGGGTCTCGTTCACAATACATTCACATTACATTTGCTGGCCGCCCTTCAGTACAACCTGATTCATTGTTCAACACCGCCTGGATCATCATCAACCCACCTCAATTCTTCTCTTTTACAAACATCAACCACCCCTGTCTCTTGAACCATATGTACAAGATTGAGCTCATAACTTGCATTGCCTATGTTTGATATCTTCAATATCCAGCTATCCTGATTGTGTTTGCACATCCGTGATGTTTTGGTTAAGGCTACTTATTATCTCTCAATGTGAACTTTACTGTTGTTTAAGAAAGTGTATATTGTATTTTACAATATCTAGGATCATCTCCAATCTTCAATGGAATGTTGTTCCATTGTGTTGGACAAAATCACAACCAAATTGAGTAAAGGAGAGTGAGTTTTAAACGTTTCAACCTCTACATCACACTCACAATTGCTAAAAACAGAGCACAGGTCAGCAATCCTTTTTCACCACATCCCTTGTTTATCCTTATACACTTCTTTTTTCTCAGCTATTCCTTAATGATCATTCACAGTCTTGATTGTATTATCTTCTTTCTACTTTTACTTGACCCTTCCTCTATATGTCACATTTGGCATCACAAAGTTGCCTGATTGAAGATATGTTATTTGAACTCCCTGGAATAAAATATTTGGGAGTCTGGCAAAAGCTAGCTCCATACCAATTTGGTGTAAGAGATTTGTGCTTAGCATGATACCTTCAACCCAAACAATCAAAATATCACTTTGAGGTTTGATCAAGTTCAATAGCAAATGTGTTAAGCAAAGGGACTAATCAGGAAGGGCCATGAATTTAATCTTGAGGAAATATGTTGTGGAACATCAGATCATTGATTTTTATTGAGAAAAATTGAGGTGGGTTGATGATGATCCAGGCGGTGTTGAACAATGAATCAGGTTGTACTGAAGGGTGGCCAGCAAATGTAATGCAAATTGCAAACAAGACCTGTGAATGAAGAAACTTGCGGACCCTGTCACCGCAACTTTCCTCAGTCGGGCTTTGAACCAATTGATCCCCGTGGTGTAAGAACTATAAGTATGACCTCTTGATGCATCCACATTTCATAGGTGAGCTAAAGTAGTAATCAGAATAGTGCACATAGTGTCAGCCTGAGTCCCTAAAGATTGGACTAAACTGAGGATAATACGTACCAAGGTAGTATGAAAGAGTTGGTTTGGTGGCTATGTTACAATAAAAGGGTTTTCTTTTATTGAGATAAATTCGAGCCTACAAGTCACCTGTGGCTACCCGCCCCTTCGGATACTCGCCAATAGGAAACGGGTCATTCCTATCGGCGACAAGCCAAAGACCCCCCCCCTCCAACACGCCGCCGCGGCCGCCGCGTCGGCTTTCAAACCACAACTACACAAGTTCACATACAAATTTCAATGTCACTAACATTCATTTACAAGTGCACATCAAACATACACAAAACAACTACCTGCATGCAACATATGCAACAAGCAAATGTCTTACAAGACGTACAAGAAATCTGTGATGAAGATCACACATGTGTGATCTTCATCACACATATGTGATCAAAATCACAAATGTGTGATCTTCACCACAAATGTGTGATCTCCATAACACATTCAAATTGTTATACTCGACAAGAGATGGGCAAGAAGGGCACCTCAGTTCCTTGTCCATTTGGCTCAAAACCAAAGAAGAAACGCAACATACCAGCAGCTGAAGGCTCTGGTATCATTGTTGCGGCAGTTCAAAGCAGTGAGGCTCAATATGTGAAAGATCAAATAGAGGCGCTTGCGCTAGCCCTTGAGCAAGCGGGAAATGTATCGAATGGATCAAATATCAGAGTACATGAGGAGGACAATGCACCTGTCAACGATGAACCTGGTGTCATGGAAGTGGAACACGAGAACGAAAATATCATGGCATTCCAGCAGCACGCTGATGAACCGGAAGTGGTGTTACCACCAGATGAGAACACATCATTCTCCAACTATGTCCAAGGCTCATATTACAAAAGCAAAAGATTAGCTGAAAAAGCCAATTGGGAAAAGAATTTACCGGATATGTTCATGAATTATATGACTTTATCTAAAAAAACATTACATTGGGGTGATACGTCAAGCTGGGACCACAATTTTAACCATGGCTGCTGCTGTGAAGTTGGCAAACTACGCACTCGCAAGGTTGACATGCTAGACATTGCTAGTGGGTTGCTAGCTTGCTCTTAACTTTTGATCCACTTTTTTTTGACAATTTGTGGTGTGTGTAAAAGCTCGTAAGCAGGACGAAATACAATTTTGTGATTGTACTGCAGATCAGGTTTGTTTAATGAGAATGGGGTACATTGGTGGTTCACCTGTACATCCACAGACAGCATACTCAATCCGGCTTCTCCGGCTGCATCATGCACTGTGGAAATTTTGCACTGTACAAACGCAAGGCTTTGCACAGACATTAGATTCCTTTCTTGATCCGGCTTGTCCACTGCTATTGGTCAAAAAAACCAAACAAGTGAGCCCCACCCTCCATCAAAATTACATGTTGGAATCTTGGGAATCCTAACAGATATTTGATCCAACTATCCAGCCTAGACGGTGGAGAAAGACACTTTCTTCGGCAATTGATGCATTTCGATATATGCTGAGAAAGGAGAAACAACTTACTATATGTGCTTTGTATCTCTCAGCGTTGGATGTACTCGCCATGAACTGCCCAAGATGCTTTGGTCCACTTCAGCAGAATGATATACCAGATGAATGTGATTATCATGTGTGCACAGATGGCAACTTCCAACACCGGAGGCATCTTGCTGCAAGCCGGGAGTATGAGGAGCAACAAATGGTACCTCCACCACTTTTCCTGGATTCTAAGAAGATTGACGAGTGGGAGAAACGTGTAAGCAACCAAGGTCAAGATAAAGAACCTGTGGTATGTAGCTCCCCTTCAATATTTAGGATCACCAATGTGTGATTTGGGATCACAAATGTGTGATTTAGGATTCCACATGTCTGATTCCCAATCACAATTGTGTGATTCCCAATCACAATCGTGCAGGCCGAGTTCTGATGACTTTTTTTAGGATCGGTGTTCAGTCTCCCACACAGCCACAGGGGATGTTCGAGGAAGATCAACCTGGAAGGGATGTGATGAAACAGGCTTGATTGGACTGGCTTGTAGACATGATCATGTCCTTAAATTTGTGAACGTAATTCAGAGTGGAGAGCGGTGAGGTTTCCAAACTCTTGAACTTCAGTATGTGTGTGTGAGGTTGTATTGATTGATATCATTGAACAGTCAGTATTATGTACTTGCTCTACTTGATCAGCTAATGAAAGATACCTCCGAACCTGGGAAACTGCCTAAAAGCTTTCAAGTCTTATATGACATAGGTTGTACCTTGGAAAAAAGTGTTAAGAAGGTGACAATTTGTCTTTTTGTTGTGTTCTTTTTTTAACGGACTCTGAAGAACTTGGCTTCCTTTGGCAGCATAAGTATTTTGAAGAAGAGTATGCACGGGGAGATATCAGATTTGCAACTAGTGCCTTTCATGCTTATACTCACGAGTGGACTTGTCAACTGAAATATAATCCCAGGTTGAACAAGGGTTGGGGTTTGTCAGATGGCAAGGGTTTAGAGCGGGATTGGTCAGACCTTGATCCCCTTATAGCTCCATGTCAATGCTTGACAAAACAACATCGAGTAGATATGATTGATTTAAAGTCCAGTCATTGCAATGATATGTGATGCAGGAATGCTGGTAAGTCTATATGATCTCGATCTATAATCCACTTCCATCTATGTTGAATATAATTTCCAATTCATATTTAGCATGGTCAGTTGAGGTGAAGCTAAAGACAGCTGAACAGCGGTTGGATTCTGCATCGGCCACACTCGAGAAGCTAGAGACTCGAGATGAGTCATATACATGGGTGTCTTTCTCGGACCAGTGGGACCGGCAAAGAGAGTTGCAACTTGCGGCAATGGCTGATGGTAATGCTCAGCAGGAACTAGAGGATTGGCTTGTGGAACTACTGGACCTTGAGGAAGAAGTGAAAGACGCCCAGTACGTTTTTTGAACTTGTCGGCCTTGAAAGATAGTAGTCTGATATTGTTGGTCTTCCTATAATATAGTGAAGAACTGCGGCGACTCCGAAGGAAACGACAAAGAAACTGGACAGATGAAGAAGTTGAATCATCACTGACCTTACCTGCGTCAATTGTTGAACTCGAGAAATCCATTGCTGATGTGACAGAAGAGTTAGGAAGTCCGGAATTCCGCCGACTTTGTGCATCAACTGGTTAGCCATACATTTCCTAATATATGGCTAACTTCTGCTGACAAATCCTGTTTTGATCTTGAAGGTAAAAAAGCAGAGGCTCTAATACGTGTACGGCTTGCAAAGATGAAGCTACACGAAGCCAAAGTGGGTATTGTAGAGGCTCAAAAGAAGTGGGATAAGTACGCTGAAGGCAATTATTTATTGGGTTCAGTTTTTTATTCTAATGTGGTGATTGACACTTGTATTTGTTACTGCAGGAACCAAAGCACAACAGGGAATGAAAACTCTGATGACGAAGGAACAATTGATGTTCAAACGCAAATGGACTTCGTATCAAGATCAAGTCTCATTATACAACCAAATTTGCCCTCTCAGCCGCATGGATTGTCCTTCCCTTGATGAAGCTAAGATACTCCCATTTGAGGATAATTTCTGGAATGTAGGTGCGCTTAGACATCCCACAGAGAAATGGGCTGTGGATGTGGGCACCATTGAAGGCATACAAGCCTTTTTGCAACAGCGGAGTTGTCGTGAAGAGCTGAGAAGGATTGGAAGGGAGGCTCAGCAGATGGTTCACCAAGCACTGAATATGGAATTAAAATTTGATGGTTTACTGGCTTTGTGTAGTGGTGGTAAGTCCAGCTTCATGTTGATTGGTGCTTGTGTATTTTCTGATAATAACCTTGAATTTGAAGATTATGATCCCGATGGAGGTGGAAAGGAGCTAATTGAATTACTTCAGTCTGGACAGCGCATCTCAAAGGATGTTTGGGAGGTGAATTTGGAGCTTTTGAGAGCGCTTCACAACAATCTTTGTCAGAAGTATTATGGAACATGGATGACATGGGATGCCAATATTGTGGAGTTAATAAAAAGGACTTATCATCACACATTGGCAACAGAGCAAGAAATTGATACATTAATTTTGCGGTGGAAATCTTTGGTGGGTAGGGGTGTATCAATTTTGGAAGATATTATCAATGCTAAACACATAGAAGCAACAGATCTGGATGAGCTGGAAGTTTTTGAGAAAAATATGCTACACGGGGAAGACAAAGATGGGGTTGGGGTAGAGCTGGGTGGGATGGTAGATCAGCTCTTCATACATGATGATGAAGTGGATGATGTATGGGAGGGTATTGTGGATGAGGATAATATGAATGAAACATGAATAGCTACACATTTACAATTTTAAAAATGATTTGATACAATTGAAGTAGGCGGTTGAACTGTGATTATTGACTTTCACACATGTGTGATTGCTTTTCCCACATGTGTGATCATTTCACACGTGTGTGACTTTGTAATTTGAACTTTTGGATGTATGTTACTCATTTACCTGGAGATACATATGAAAGCCTGTGATCTCCGGTCACACGTGTGTGACTGAGTGTGTGACTGAGATTCACAAATGGCTGACTCAGGTTGACACAAGTCCCACGTATATATATGTGATTTGCAGGCTATAGCTAAGCCAAACCCAAAATCACACATGTGTGATAGTCAATCACAAGGGTGTGACCAGGAATCACACATATATGACTTTCAGTCTGAAGAGGAAAAATGTGACCAACAATCACACACATGGGATTTGTGGACACACAAGTGTGAACAAGAATCACAAAAATCACACATGTGTGATCCGCAGTCACACATGTGTAGAAGACAATCACACATGTGTTATGAGAAATTGTACATGTGTATCAAAACCATAAATCACACATGTGTAGACAAAAATCACACAGGTGTTACTGGGAATTACACAAGGTGTGAATGGGAATCACACAAGTGTGAGAGATGCATGTGTAACAAGTTGGCGCCTTGGATGCAGGTGTTCCGTGTGTTAATACTATGTTTATGTGGGAATGAATGTTAGTGACATTGAAATTTGTATGTGAACTTGTGTAGTTGTGGTTTGAAATCCGACGCGGCCGCCGCGTCGGCGTGTCAGAAGGGAGGACTTCGGCTTGTTGCCGATAGGAATGACCCGTTTCCTATCGGCGAGTATCCAAAGGGGCGGGTAGCCACAGGTGTTTTTCCCGTTGCAGAGCGTGTGTGTAGCGGTATTTTGCACCACTATTTTCCACCCTATACAGAGCGGAGCCTGCGCACCGCACTCTAGGAGGGAAAAATTCCATAGCGGAGTGTCCGCTTGGCAATGCGGCTGGGGCCAGTTTGTCTCCGCTATATAGCGGAGAAATGCCCTGTCCTTTGTTTTCTTTTCAAATCCCTTTCTTAAATGGTTTTAATCTATTGATTTAGATTTTTGAGCCACTTTTTGTAATCCAAGTTCACCTTTTACCTACTTTTTACAATGTTCACATTCACATACAGCCGTTCCACCAATTAACGGCAGAATTCTTTGATTGTGTGTCGCTCTCAAGGTTAAATCTAGAGATGTCAAAACTGGATTAAACCCAGTTTTGCACGCAAATGAACAAGGATGCCTGGGAGACCTGTCACTTTGAGCTGGCTTTAACTAGTTTTTGACTTGATTAAATTCGGATGCAACACCCCGATGAAGATTTCTGCTGTTAATTGTTGGAACGGCTGTAATCAATTAGCAAGTTTTGTAAATCGTCCAACGTTTACACCTACCAGAAGAGAATTTTTGAATGATTTGACATGAACATCAAATCTAGTCATTGAGCGACCTAATTCATCTACCAGTGTCTTGGTCAAATACAATCAAAGGGTCATTGTAGAAGTTCTAGAACCAATTCCAAATCAAACCAGTGAAATCATTTTATTAAAAACCATCTTGATCAACTTCATTCAAACTTATGTTGAAACTTAATCATCTCAACCGGTCAAAGTCCTTCAATCCCTTCACAGTGAACTCAATCTCATCATCATTGGAACATTCATACATCTCAATACTTGGACAGAATTGATTGGTTTTATCTGATTTACTCACTTGTTTAAAACTACATCCAACTACATCATCTAATTTAATTTCAAGTTTTGATTCACTTCATCCTACATCTGAATCACCCGAGTCAGATTGATCAAATTCATCTAGGCCCCTTATCTGATTCATCACCCACCACACCAGATCATGAAACCAATCTACTCAAAACTCAAATCAAGCCCACAATAGCCCTCATCGGAGCCAAAGTGATACCAAAACTTTATTAGATACATTGCATAAATTAAATCAACTCAATGTCCAATTGGAAATTGGTATGGTGATTTGGAAAGGACATTTGTATCCTTCTGATGATTCAGCTTTTTCAGATGAAATCTTTGATCTCATCTCTACTGAAATGTTTTATGGATCAGGTTGAAGAGGTAAACTGAACTATGTAAGAGGCATCATTTTAAAGTAATCTGAATCCACCAACTATAGTGTCATGAATCCTGAAACTTTATAATTGGTAAGACCCGCTTTTGATTCTGTGAGATCATACATTCTTGAAAGACTAATCTTTGGAGGTCTTTTGCTTGTGTGGACAACAAATACTTATATGAAACAATTTATGTGCAAAAAGTAGAAGAAGTCAAATTTCAAGGGAGAAAAATTTGCTTTCCATTCTTCTTTATAATTTCAACAATTTTGGTTGTTCGAGATCTTTCTGCACTATATTGCCCGCAATATAGTGAAAAATAGTGCGTACAGCGCTCCACAATTGAGAGAGAAAAAAAAATGAAAAATAGTGATTGGGAGTGTTGCGCTTCATAGCGCAGTCTGCGCTCTGCAATGCGAAGAGGTCTAAAATTAAGAGCGTTGCGGAGCGGTTGCGGTGTTGATGCCATTGCCATTGGCATATGCCGCATCAGCAAAGAATTGACCTGTTAAGTTGAATTCCAATCAGTTACATTCATGACTTGAATTGAGAAAGACAGAAAAAAACATACCTTCTGCTATGACAAAGTCACCGTCGTGCCTTGCAGAGTATAGTACGTCTGGGTCAGACGTGCTACCTTCAAAACCAGCAAGTAGAAACAAAAAGGTCAAGTCAAAAGAACAGGCTGCCAGAACATTCTGTGTCAGCAAACCCTTTTGATTCCAATAGGCAGATTGATTGGCCACAGCCACTTTCACTGGGATGTGAGTGCCGTCAAGAGCCCCAATGCAGCCGTCAAAGAACGTTGAGTACTTGTTGCTATTGGATATTTTATCTGGGATGGGTGATTCGGGCCCAGGTGTAAGGCTTTTGAGGGCCTTCACTAGAGGTTTGTTTTTCTCTCCGACTCGACTCTCTCAAGAACACTAACTTGGAACTTTGGTATATATATTACGAAGTCTAACTCCAGGCAGTCCCATATGAGGCTCTTGAAAGAGTCAGCAACCTTAACAACAACCAAACAAGTAGAAAGAGAAAGAGCTCACCTAACTCCAGGCAGTCCCATATGAGGCTCTCGAAAGAGTGAGGACTGACCAGAGTCGGCGTGGAAGTGAGAAGTATAGTACACTCTATCTAAACCCATGATCTGTAACCCCATGCCTTATCTCCTACGTGTAACCCCTTACACCAGGTTGGACAATAATGTTGTCTTTCAAGCTCACTAGGACATCAAGTACTTTATTATAATATTGTGATATAGTATCACCGGAATGAGGCAATCGCTCAGCAGCTGTTGCATTTGTGGAAGTGTTTCCTACAATATATAAGAAGATCATGAAGTGCTCTCTTGCCAAGACATGAATTGTATCTTCAAGATGTGGCTCTAGAACTTCCATGATCATTTTAAAATTAGCTTTATCCATACGACAGAGTTGTTGGAAGCGTCCTGGATGACCTTCCAATGATTCTTGTTTGTAGAGATATCCACAAAGAGCGGAAGTATGGTACAGTTGCTTCGGAAGACCTTGTCAATGAGCAAGGTTGCAAGCATGCTTAAGCAGAAGATTGAGGACAAGGTTGTCATCTTTGTCATCATCTGACAAGGATGATGAATAGTATTTGATGAGTGAATTCGAGTCTGTATCAGACATCACCGGTGTAGATCCCAATGGGATGTATGTGTGTGATTGTGAAGTGAGGATGAGGGAAGGACCATTAGGGATCACTGATTATGGTAAAGAAGGATTGAAGTTTGAATTTCAAAGTTTACTGACCAAACATATTTTGTTCAAATGTTACTCAAATTGCGTTTATTTGAAATAATCTTGATTTTCAAGACAATCTCATTTGCCCCAGGGCAATTGACGGGAGGTCAAATTGAGTTTACAAATCATAATTGCAACCAAATGTAGCCTTAGGGTAGGAGGTGCTTCATTTATGGGATACAAAGTAGAATCTGGGTACGTGCCCGGATTCTACTTTGTATCCCGTAATCAAGAGCAAATTTAGGCACTTCTGAGAAAACTCTTAAAAAAGTTGGGAGGTGGAAGTCAGAATCTTTCAGACAATATGTCAAAGAATTTTCAGAAGACAAAACGAGAAGTACGAAGTTGTTTTTAGACACGATTAAATTAATTAATCGAACTCGAACGTAGCAAGAATGTATCACAAGCTTTAGAAGTCATGCAGAGTTAGAGTTTATTCCATGATGTCCCACAATAAGAGTTCCAACCATACAGTGAAAGGGGCTGTCCATCAGGCCAAGGACAGCATGGTTAGACCATCCCTACCTTGGAAAAAAGGGAAACCAGACAAACCCTCCAACGGGGAGAGATGTGAGCCCTCAACCATGTTAGAATTGTTGGTTTATAGAAACCAAAAGACTGGTTTTGGAAAACCAAGTCCCTGGTTCTGTAAGAGCACAAATTTGGTTTGAGTAAACCAAAAATGTGCTTGTCCCGTGCACTTTCCCATAAAGCACTTACCTCACCAACCAGGCAAGGTAAGAGCAGGGATGGTGATATAATATCAACCATCACTTACTTAAAGTGATAGTTTATCACGCCTTATATTAGAAAACATTGTAACGTAAAAGTAAACTAAATAGTGGATTTCTCTTTCATTTTATTTCTATATATTTGTGTATATTGCTGCTTGCTTTGTCTTTTTTGTGTGGGTGAATTAAATGATCTTTCAAACCCTTTTAACATTATCACTTAAAAGCAATCTTCTTGCTTACGACAAATATTGCTTGACCGTGATTGACTCATACAATCTTCAATCCAGTCAATAAGTCAAAGTAAATTGGTATCATTTGATTGTAATTCAAATGATTATCAACTTTATTTACCTGAAACTAAGTGACCTTTTCAACCAACAAAAATGGTTTACCTCCATCACACCATGCAATGTAATGAACTAATATATATGATGATGTACGCTGTAAGAATATGTGACTAATCCTAGTAAGGGCTTACAACATGAGTTATAATGAAGAGATGGGATTTCAAGATATGAGGAGATTGGTATAGAAGGAAGAAATCCCAAAAACAAAATCAATCATATATACATTTGACGGAGCGGAGCATATTTGAAACTTCAAATCACAAAATAGGATCAAAATGGCAAAGAAGGAGTGAATTACCCAAATAATTTCAACTCCAAACATGGATGTTACTGAAGCTCAAATCTCAAAATGAGATGAAAATGGTAAAGAAAGAATGAGTTACCAAAAATATTCAATCTTTTAAGGTTATGTGGAAGGAATTTGGGGGTTTGGAAAATTTTGTATGATCCTTTTCTTTGATCCAAGCCTTTTTTTTGTTGGGTACCATAGTATTGGCAGCTTTTGCATGCTTATGGTTTTGGCTGGAAGTTTCTAGCAGCACACTCTGCCAAGGTTGCCCTATCTCTTGCATCCGCCCTGAAAAGAATACAAGAAATTCTTAGTCAAGTTAGTTGTGAGGATAAATTGAAGATGAGTTTACATACTCTGGATCGGAGGGATATTCAAAGTCTGAGTCTTGTTCACAGGGATGTTTACCCCCAACTTTACCACTGAGGCATTTCCACAATACACCAACAGAAATAAGTAAGCCACCAATTACCCCCACTCCTATGAGTTCCTTTGAGTATTTATGTAACACATCATCATTTTCATCCGACTGTGACCCATAGATAGAGGGTTGATTATATGAATCTACTTGTTGTTGAGTCCATACTGGTGGTGCCTCGGTTACAGCTCCACCAGGCACATTCATCATTGGTGTATATGGGCTACCAACCTGCTGCATTTTTCTATCATGATACATTAGATAGTCTGGGGGACCATGATTTTTTGCCATTGCTTCCATTTGGGCTGCCTCTTCCACACTATCATGGTATGCTTGAGTGGTAGCTCCCCAGACCACACCACTTGATTGAGACACTGTTTTGTCAGCTAATTCAGTTGGTCTGGTGGGGCTGGCCATTCCAAGTCGATGAAGGATAGGACTAGAAGCAGTGTGATCCATCAACATATTGATGGTTACAAACATCTGTCGAAATCTCATCTTGGGTAGGCTGTTGAAAATACATACATAGAAATGTCAGCACCCAAACTTAATTATCTCTGAAGCCTTTGACTAGTATGCTAGATCAGGAATCAAAGAAGAGGCCTGCACTGAAGGTTTACGGAGACAGATGAACTATAGAGGGATTGATAGGAAACTATTGTCTTCTTGGAACAGCAGATAGAGATAGGGAAAAATAAGCTTCAAAGAACTTTTGCAGGACAATAATATCAAGGGTTTAAGAAAATTTCATCTACAATTTCAGCCTGGCGAGTGACAGACTCTTGGTGTATAGTAGAGCAATGGGCAGAAAGAGAAGAATCATTGCAAAAATTGTAAAAATCACTGACCAAAGAAAATTATCTTGCAGTTGTAACTGATATATAGCTTTAGATTAACTATAGAATTTGTAGCAGTAGTAAAAGAGTGTATAAAAGACTGATAAGAGGTCAACACGGCAGAAAATAAGCAAGGTGAGGCCTTGACAGTATCTTCCTGAGTGCGAAATCAGTGATCTCTTTATACTTGTCAAAATCATATAACACTCTCTTGTCAAACTGGTCTGAAATGTAGATATCATTCCAGCACTTTTCATCAACCTCAAAACCTTTCACCATCAAATGTAACTCTATATATAACACAGATTTCAAGGACGCTTTCATTTTGACAAGTCCTTACAATTTTTCATCATGTGCGACATTTGAATCAGACCCACATGTGCCCGATCACACTCTAGGGGCAATGGAGTCTTGAGACAAGAGTGCGCAATCAGTGACCTCTTTGTACACATCAAAATGACATAAAATGCTATCCTTAAACTGGTCTGAACCCTTCAAAACAATTCTTCTGTAGCAAGTGAGCCAAAAAAAAGAGAGCTTGTATCTCACACACATGTAGGTTGATCATTTTTGATCTCAGTCTTTTACTCAACATGCAATGACAAAAATTACCTGACTTTTCATCATGTTTTGATTTGAGATTGAGTGATGATAACTATATTTCATTCGAAAAAAAAACTCAATGTCAATATTATTCCAGCACCTTTCATCAAGCTCAAAATGTTTCACCAATACATATATGAAACTCTGTATGTAACTCAGATTACAAGGACAGTTTAGATGTTAAAATTTCTTACGCATCTGACACTTGAACCAGACCCGCATGTGCCAGATCACAATCTAGGGCCAGTGAAGACCCCAAGGCTTTACCTTTTTTGGGTGTCAGTCTTGTGTTCAAAGCTCATTACCTGACTTATCATCATGTTTTGATTTGAGATTGAGTGGTGATAACTAGATTTCATTTGGACAAAAAACTCAGTGTAGATATTATTCCAGCACCTTTCATCAAGCTCAAAACATTTCACTAATGCATACAAGGTACTGGGAGGCTTGCCACCCTCTAGTAGTGGGCGGCCTGCCACCCTCTGGTACCATATTGGCCAACATACCAGGCAGGCCTCCAGATTATCAATTTCAAGCTGCACCTCTTTTTTTCTGAACTTTGACTTTTGCTGTTGGTGAGTGTTGATGTTTCTTGAAAAGCTTCTAGCATCTCTTAGGATGAATTTTGAATCCACTCTTTTCAATTCAATTTGTTGTCCTGGGCACATACTGCTTGTGAATCTCTGAAATTCTTTCTTTTCTCTCATATTTATCAATTTGTTTGAAACCTGGACACATTATTTATAAATTCATTTACACTTTGAGTTTGAATCTTTTCAGAATGCATATAATCCAGCACAAAAAATGATATATTCAAGGACCTAAACCCTCAAGTAATCATGTGTAAACAGATCAATTGCAACCTGGAGCTCCATACAGCTTAGTATCTTTCTCTCTATGCGATCCTATTCACATATATCATTCAAAGAATAACATCTTAAAATTTTGATGTTAAGCTTTTTTTGCAGATGATCATATCAAGTCAAAACATACATTCCAGTTCTTTGGATGATGTTATTCAAAACACAATCAATAGAATACAACAAAAGAAAATATGCACATATTAACATTAGGGCAGTTCAAGTTAAACAAAAATGTTGTAAAATTATAAGTCTTTTGGCCTCCATGTGCTGTAAAATTTTATAACTCCAACTTTAGTTTGCACATACATGCGCTATTCAGGTAGGGCTTTCTCAGAGTTTTTCAAACTTTCAACAATTATAAGCAGCATTTTGCTGTAGGCACAGTTCTTTTTTAGTGCTTTTTCAAACTTGAACTTCCCTATTACATTTTCTTTAATTAATTCTGAAACCAATTCAAGATCTTCCACTGTAAACATCATTCAACTTCCCCAATTTGGCAGAGGAAAATGATTAATAGTACAGTTTTTCATAAAAGAATCTAATACTGCACACCTGGGCCATTTCACCCACACTACATATGTGCAGCAAGCTAAGTCAATAGTTGTCTATCATGTACATACAGGTCTGCTCAGTTTTTTGCCCATCAGAATAAATAAATCACATGTTATACCACATGTAACTTTTTCGACTTTGAAATTTTTTTCCCAAAAATTCACTACATATAATTCTGTAGCTGCTCAGGCAATATTGTTGAAGCTATGTCTTAGTAACAGAAAGTGTGTTACATGCAGTTGAGTTGATGAGATCACACCAAAACATTGAGTCAGTGTATGTAGTCAATCTTTTGGAAGCTTTTTTCAATCTGAAAGAAGTTACAGCATGTATTACATATGAATAACTTGTCCTGATGAGCAGATAACTGAGCAGAACTGTATGTACATGATAACCACATATTCACTGAGCCTGCTACACATATGTAGTGTGGGTGTTATGGCTCAGGTGTGGAGTGATAGACCATTTTATGACAAATCATACTCCCAATCATTTTTCCCTGCCCACTTGGGGAACCCGAATAATGTCTGCAGTGTTCCTTTTTCAAATCACTCTATATTCCAAAAATTCCATTAGCAAGAGTCACCACTACTGGTAGATTAATTTTGAGTTTTGCAGATTTGTTACTATGATCTCCAGATTTTAATGAAATCACATTGGCACCTGCCAAGCAGAATAAAGCTCCAATGCTATTAAGTAAAGGACCAAAAGTAAAATACTGACAGCAGCAAATGAAATGATCCTTAGTGACTGATAAAGAATTCAAATTTAGAGCTACATTTAAGTTAGGAGTATTAAGTGATGGAGACCTCGTGATGAATGAGTTAGAGTAAACTTATCAAAGTCCCACGCTCACGCCTACTCGCGAGGCGTTGAGCAAGGGACTTGTGCCAAACTCACACAAACTCCTTACTCAGGGTTGGAGGCTTTTGCAGGAGAGCACCTCAAAAGGCCTCTACAGCCTTTTCCTTCAAGCATTGGATCTCTGGACCAAAGAAAAAGATTGTTCACGGTTCTTTTCCGCACATTGTACATGTTTTTTTTCCCGAGGAAGTTGCCCCCTCCTTTCTTAAAATCATCTCAAAGTTTCCAAGAATGTATATGTAGACTAGCCAGATCAGTGGCGGGCGCCACATCATCAAATTTTCTGGAGGGAATCCATACAATCCAATTGGCTCTCAAATGGAAATGTGAATAAATAAAATTCAGCTTAGCAGAAATCTTTGCTTGGTCCCATGGACCAAATTCAATGATCTGTGTATCACTGTTTACCTTGCCACATCATTGCTCACAATCAAACCTGAATTTCAGACAAATAGAACTCCTATAGCAAGACAACACTGCATAGATTTCCATCCTTGGTTTATGTCAATTCTTTCATTTATAATAGTTTTCTTCCCCTACTGATGACTTATGTTCTTCATTTCTAGGGTATCAGAATTTCCTCTTTAGCTAGGAACTTTGGTCAGTAAGCTTGAATCTTGCTCTCCGTATTCTTTCAATCTTTTTCTCTTTCTTCAATTTTAATTCATTGGATAGTTATTTGACTGTGTGTTTCCAAAATATTATTTGACTCTATGTTTTCAAAATTCAAGAAGGATGAAAGAATTGCCATTTCAAAAAACACCATAGGAAAGCAATGACATAAACTTTGACTGAACATCATCTTTTCCAATATCCATGTTTGCATCTTGTGTCTACACAACGTCGAAATCGCTGCGCTACGCACAGCAATATGAAGGGTCGTAGATAGTGGTATGATCTACCACTATCTTGAACATCCGCTACGCACCACTATCACAAACAACCCGCTATGTCTTTTATGTAGGGGTGCGCATCAGCCACTATGGGGCACTACGATATAGACTCACTAGCGCTATCATAGCGCACACGCAAAAATTTTTAATATGAACATCAAATATTATTAAAAGGCATTTAAAAAATAAGTGACAAACATATACAAGAACCATTAAACAATTGAGTAAGAGAGTAGAGCAATAGAAAAAAAAGAGAAGAAATAACTTGTATTAAAGATAGTCATGAAGTAGAAGGCAATTTAAATGATCGAGATATAAGAAAAAAAAAGAAAAGTGAGACTTGAAAAGTGAGATCGGGAGTGAGTGTAGGAAAAGAAAAAAGGAAAACTTTGACTTAAAGAAAGTAATTAACTTGAAGGTAAACTAAAAGATATGATGATTAAGAAAAGGAAAAAATAATTGAGATATCAAGTCATTGCTTCTCCATGTTCTCCACCAAGGTAAGAGCCTCAGAGAACTCGCCAGGAACCTTTATCCCAGCCTTGAGCCACTCCCGAGACGAAGCACATCGCTCAATGGTACGGCTAGTCATAGCCGATCAATCGGACCCGCACACGTCAGCTGCACCTGAAAAGATCCTTTCACAAGAACAGGTTGTTCCAGAACAACCCATAAAGTCACGAGCCATGAGGGCAAGGACAGGAAATGCGCCACAATTATCCTAAAGCATAAGACACAGTCAGAAATTTTGAAGTTAAAGATAAGATGATGAAGAAAGAATATGTACCTTCCACCACGACAAAAGTGTGCCACAGGTAAGAGGAAATTTTCCTGATATGTAACCTTCAAGTTCTTGTTTGGTATCATCGTTAGGTCCAGATGCCATA